GAGAAATCCACCAAAAAGGTGCAGTAAATTCGAATTAGCTATCTGGCCTTTCACTTACAGTCCCAGGGCGAGCAGCAACTAGTTTGTATGAGCTGTAATTAGTTCATCTTATAGTATGGACTAGCCATCAAATAGCTTCACGTAAGTCGCCATAAAATACCATTCAAATCGATAAGAATACCTACGAGCTCCGTAAATCTCGCACCGAACCAATTGTACTCAAATTATGATAGCAAAAACATTATTCATATATTTATCGAGTATAATAATGATACATGAATATATTATGAGTACAAGACTACGAGAAGGAATAAAACTACAACTGCAAGCCCCATAATGGCCCCACCCTATCTCGGACATTTACATGCCACCGAAAAGATTTTGAGATTTCTTGTCACGACGTGAGAGTGCGGATATCGGACAGAGGAGGACATACTGCAAGTAAATATTATTTTGATGAGCGAGTAGGGAAGACATAGGGACATACTTTGGTAACTTTCACATCGAGGACGATAGTTGACGACTTGAAAGCATGCATTAGCCTGAGGCAGAGAGGACAGAGGGGAGAAGTATGACCTTGCAAAGACCCATGCCGTGTCGTCATGCTGCCATTGTGACTGACATGGCGGTGGCGGCGGGTCCACGGGGCACCATTACATCGAGGTCCTAGACAGCAAGCCAGTCAGTGTAAGCCAGATGGGTATTTTCGCTGCTCGTACCTCATGTTGATACAAATCAGCAGACAACAAGGGTGAGCCTGTTGCCACGTCGCAGCACACGCTTGTGAACACTGAATAAGTAGGGCTGGGCAGTCAGTACACAAGCCGCTATCGACAGTAGATGTGATACATACCTTACCTGCATGTACGAGCGACGGGACACTAGCGAGAGTTGACGGCGCAGTGAGGAAGATAGTGGGTGAGAGACGAGCACCGCGGCACGAAGAAGTTGAGCTTCACACGTTAAGGATGCATGTGAGCTGACCAAACCGGGCCTTCCAACTTCACGTCGTCAAGTTATTTTTCACTGCACGTCCCACACGACCAGGCTCGATATAGTGCTACTCGACTTGGTAGGGCTATTCTCCATCCTAGCGCGCCTTCTACTTTCTCAAGTACTCTTCTTCTAGAGTATTTTACCCACTCTTCTCTATACTACACCAACACTCCAATGGGAGCTCGTACTCCAATGGTGTTCGCTCGAATGAAGAGGGCAAGACCGTCTGCAACGCCTGCGGTGTTACAGACACCCAATTATTCATTATCTTTTTCCTTTTCTTTTCCTTTTTCCGGACTCTCACGTGACTCGGCAATTCCTGTGACTCACGCTCGACTCATCTAGTTCTCGCGCCTTGTTTACGGTTGTTTGCCTCGTCATACCTATATAAGACTCCGCCTCCGCTTGTAACTTACTCTCAACCTTGATCTAGTCAATACACCGGCTACCTAGCCGCTTGCCTTGGTCTCTACGCTCGCCCTTGTCTGTGTTATCAAGCGGCCGCCTAGCCGTTGCTGACATGCGGCCTCTAGTGCATATTTCATTCATTCCTATATGCTTATCCGAGCATCAGCTAAATGAGCCGATATCTGTGCATAACAGCTATATGTTGCACGGTTCCGCGTGCCCGATTAGCATGAAGTCGGATGTGATTCGCAAGCACTCGCATCATGATGCCTGTTGCGGTAGCAGCCCTGACGCCAGCAGATACGCAAGCCCGAACAACGACGGCCTGGTAAGCACTCGCTCGCACCCATCCTTCTCAATCTGGTGCTCATATCTCTATTCTTGTACCTTAGATGCGCTCGCCCACTCTCGCTCCCGATGGCTCAACCGCGCCCTGGGCCGACCAGTACGACAGCCTCGTGTACGGCTACCCCCTCTGCCAAGTTCGGCTTGTTGCTCACAGGCACCGGTCCTACGCAGACGGATGACGGGATTGATGAGGACCAGCATACCAGGAAGTGTCGTCGGCTCAGCACGGCCAGCTCGACGTATAGCATGGCCAGCGGCATCAGCTCCGCGCGGCACCGAGCCGCCCAGCTTGGTCATCCCGAGCGCGAGCTACGTGACGCCCATGGCCTCGTCACTCGCAAGTGAAAGCTCCAACGCACCCAAGGCGTTCGGCTCGCCTGGTTCCAACTACAACTACAGCGCGAACAACGGCTACTTTCACGTGCAGTCGTATGGCCAGCCGCAGGCCGATTCAAACAACGCGAACGGGTACGCCCAGCAGCAGCCGCAACAGCAGCAGGACACCACCAATGTCGCCGGCTTTAACGGCTACACCCAAGACCCGAACGGCAACATCTACGGCCCGGCCGACTTCCCCGGCCCTCGCTTCGAGTTCCTGTTCTTGTCATTCCCGGCGTATGGCATGCTGCGCATGCCCAGTGCGGGCGCGTGGCACCCGCCGCTGCTCCTGCTCACGCAGAGCCCAACGTTCGTGCACCTGCCGGTGACCCCACTTGAAGATGCGCTGCATATTGGCGCGCCGGCGTTGAGCCCGCATGCGGCGTTTGCGCAGATGGGTTTGGGCAACGGTGCAAATGGGAATGTTGGTGGTGGGCAGGGAGGGGGGCAAGGGATGGAGTACGAGTGGCAGAGCCATTCGTGGTGCGGGCATTAGTGGGGTGCTGCGGCGAAGGAGGGCGCAAAGGGCGAGGCGCAGGATGGGGACGTGCTTTCCAATTCGTTTTTGCAGGAGCTGGCGGGGAGCACATTCGTGGGGGGGATGTGGGAGGCGAACTGAGCAAGGGTGAGGACGGCGAGGGTGCTAGGCACGCTTGCCGGTTCTGATCCTCTCTGCTGAGGGCACGAATGCGCAAGATGACCTCGGTCATCACCATTCGATTCAACTTGCAACTCTTTGCAAGAGCCTCTGCCGTGCCGAACCCGAACTTACGACCCCGCGATGACGATTACAATGCTTCACGACTGCTACGACACCGCCTGCTTTGTTCTCACCCTTCGTCATGGTTGCAGTCGCAAGTTATCTGGTCTCAGTCGCTATCAGTCGCTCTTGGCAAACAACTATCCGCACACATCTGCACGTCACTCGCACACGCTGAAGGCCCGCCACACATTGTCTCTGCTACACCTCAAGTTCTCGGTTATAGATTACTTTGTATCTGCTTCTCTCTGACTCGTGATTCCCCGACTCCTCAAGCGCAAGCTATGCCACAACTGCCGCCTCATCATTCGTGAGTGCTAGGGGCTCACTAGGACGGATACCTCCGGGTCACGCAGTAGAGACAAGTTCAAGGCAAGAAAAGAAAGAGAACATCTGTGTGGGTAGCAAGATGGACAAACTAGAGAGTACAGATACATGGGGAGCAGTCTTATATAGTAGTCCGAGTCATGCACATTGGTAAGAACATGCTTAGTGAGCCACCCGGCCTCCGCTAACTAAGCAGAGGTGAGTTAGGCTAGGCCGAGTCATACGAGAAGGGGATGAGTCATGCCATCAAGGAACCTTCCAGCGCATTCCGGCAAGCGCCGGACCGCTCTAGCCTCCGGCCCGGGCGGGCCACCGGTCTGATCCGGCCGTTGCCGGATAATCAAAAGGAAAAGAAATTGAAATTGAAAAATCGTGGAACCAAGGGTCGAACCGTGACAGTGAGCAAGTTCTACAAGGTGCCCAAAGGCATTTGGCTTTCCGGACTCGAACTACAGCCATGGCGCAAAGGGCGGTCACGATGACGCGCAGTCGTACGGCCAGCAGCAGGCGTATTCGAATAGTTCTGGTTACGCCTAGCAGCAGCAGCAAGACAGCTTGTTTTCATCCCAGGTCGCGTATGCCATCCACGCCTCCTGCCTCCGCCATCTGAGCCCCATCAATAGCCATCGAGCTATGGCATCATGACCTGCAGCAACAATCACGACACTCTACGACTACCCACGACCTGCCTGTTCTATTTCGTCTTCGTCTCGGTCGCAATTTCATCCTATCTTCAGTGTATCGCCGCTTTTGCGCAGAACTTGCCACAATTCAGCACCATCCGCTCGCACGTTCGAGGCCTGCCACACATGGTCTCTTCGCTCCGTCCCAAACTTGGTCATAAGTTCATGAGTAACTGCTTTTACCCGACCCGTCAGTCCCCGGCCGCCTGCCAGCTCCATTCCATGTATATCTCATTGCCTCTTAGCTCCTCGCTATGTACACGCAATCCTCTAGTTCAATGTACAATATCCTACCCTGTTTTATACATTATCTAGCCTGTGCAGTCTTCATAAATACAATTTTACTTGCTATGACTGTGGTGAGAAGCTCTCAATTTAGCAGTCAGGTGCTACAGCTACTTACATACCGATACCAGGTAATACTACTTCATTCCCGATTTTCTGTGCCTTCACGAGCTGTCCACGAGCAGCGGCAAGTGTCTCGTTAGCTGAATGTCGAAATCAGCACAAAAAACCCGCCATTAGCTGGTAACGCGTCGTTAGCTCCTGTAACCTCCCGTTACGGGGGAGGTGTTTTCCTGATGTGATGGCACCCTCTCTAATCACGAGCAACTCCTCATGCACGGCCTCTTCCCTGCAAGCACGAAGTCAACAGCAACGGCATATGATGTTGGCAGTTTGGAAAAGGCCTTGATTGAGAAGGTTGAGTGTCATACACCAGTGGAGTCATACTGGAAGAAGATCTGTCGGTATATGGTGCCCAAAGATCCGGCGGCCACCATGGTATTGTGACAAACCTGGCCTTGAGCTTGACGCGACGCGGCGAACGAGCGGCGGTGCGTTGATCTTGAGGTTCGGGAAATACGCGAGAGTCTTGCGGTGCTAGAATTTGAGCGGTAAGAAGTGTCGAAGTCGTGCGATTGCAAGAGCTGGGGAAAAGTATATACATGCGAATCGTTTATATACTGTGCCCCGAGACCCTCTCCTCCTCCTCCCGGAAACCCCTATTTTGATTGATACGAGACGATTGAGACAATACAAAACGGTAAGCAAGTTTGTAAGTACATGAGTAAGAGATGTGGTTGTTCATAAGCAAGAATAGTCATAAGGGATGGTGGTGGTGTAGGTGTAAGTATGGATTGTTGTTGTAGCGGGACGACACAACGTCGTCTGTGGCACCGCGCAGTCAGTTAGCTGTGCAACGAGGTCAGCCTCGTGTGCGGTGCCTCAGCGGCGGGATGGCGTACCCGTTACAGGTATGCACCCTGTTCTGTCTCTACCAATGCTGCCAATGCTAATGGGCGGCAGAACAAATACGCTATCACCATGCGCATTCATCGGGAGTACCGCACTCTTCGCGAGTACACAGAATTTGGTTTTGCTCATCAAGACCTGGAAACTTGCAGACAGCCAGAGCCCGGAGAAATGGCATATCGCTACATCGCCTGCCCCTACATCTGGAATGTTCCAAAGAACTACGTGTCACTCCCTTCTGCTCTGAAAGATCAGTATTTCACAGTGTGGACAATTGATGGAAACATGAAGGCAGAGCACACGACCCCACGCCGTCTAGGAAGTAATGTTTAGATATTTCCCGGCACTGGCTTTCTGCCGGACGCAGAAGAGTTCACACGAGCAATGAGCACTGCAGTGATAGACAAGGACCTACCTGAGGATCTAGTAAGCTTAACAGTCTATTTACTTCCGAATGTAGTTTGATGCTGAATCTTAGACCCGGGGTTGTGAGTTGTGCCATCAGCACGTTGCTGCCGTTGCTGTCCCTGTCAAGGCCGATCCATCCAAGGATGTTCAAGCAATTCTCTCCGTTCATTGTGTGCGCCATGGCAACATGGTCCCTGGCGGCACTGTCAATATGAACTTTGTTGAAAAGTATGTGCTACAGCCTATACAACTGATATGCTAATTTTGCATACAGCCGAGCACAGGCCGATTATACCCTGAACAACTCGATGAGGCTCAACCTAGATCTATGCATTACTACGCGCCTCATTCTCGGATACAACATATGGTGTCAGTATGGTGTTCATCTCCTTGAGCATTTTAGATGGGCGGGCCATCTGTTATTATCCCGTTCCCGTACTGCCTGGACTTGTATATAAGACTCTTCCCCCACATACCTTAGCTCCTTTAGTTCATCCATCTTGCAATCTACCCTCTGTGGTGTTCTCCTCTGCTACCTCTGTTCTTGCCATTGCATACCCTCATGTTGTCACTGGGTTCAAGCGCTTGGTATCTATCCGTCTGTCCCTTTTCCTTTTCCGGACTCTCACGTGACTCGGCAACTCCCGTGACTCACGAACAACTCATCCAGTTCCCGCCCTTTGTTTATGTCTGTTTACCCCGCCATACCTATATAAGACTGCACTCTTGCTTGTAACTTACCTTTAACCTTGATCTAGTCAATACACCGGCTACCTAGCTGCTTGCCTTGGTCTATTTGTTCACCCCTTTTTCTGTGTTAGTAAGCGGCCGCCTAGCCGTTGCTGACATTGCTGACCCAACTCTCAGGGACGCACTGTCAAGGCAGAGGGTTTGGGAACTCTCGGTACGTAGGCAGGGCATATAATGTGGGAGAGGCAAGAAGGGTATGTGGCCGTTCTTACATCCTATGACTCGTGTTGACATACTTTGCAGGACTCGTATATCTGCGTCAGAACTTGGCGGTGGGGCATGTACTGTTTGACTGCGGGGACTGGGCCGGCAGAAGGGGGCTCTCATGGTTTTCCTTGGTTTGTGTGTAGTTGAATGGGCTAGTGTCATTTTAGCACTATTGCGCTGTCACGAGCTATCTTGTGATATCTATGTCATTCTAATCTAAATTAGGCTTCCGGAACCAAGAATATTGCTGTCAGTCCAAGTACTATCAACTACAGTCAAATCTTGGTTGATTTGGTGGTATCCTTGATTTTTCTTGATCCGCGATGCTGCACGTTTTCGCTGGGGTCCAGCAGTCTTCGGCATGGATGGACACCTACACACATGGCTGCATCATGCAATTGGGACCGAGAAGTGTGACAAGAAGTTAAGGTATGGTCAGTACTGCTTCTTCCTCCGAATGTCTCCGAATGACTGGGAATATTCGCCATAAGTGCACAAGCACACATTGATGGCAAACTAAATCTTTTCACGTGCTTCTGGTCTCACATGTTCAGATATCCTGACATCATATCAGCTTGCCGAACAGGCCCTTACAGTGATACTTACAGTGACACATTTGGCCCTACAACACCCGCATAGTGCGAATTTTCTGTAGCAGGGGGTTACACCATGTACATTCGACCTCAACAATATATCGAATGCTCGCGATTGATAAGAATGTGCTTGCATAAATTACTCTGCGATCTGGCGGAACCTCTCGATAATCTCGTTGTGCAATGCATTTAGCTTCTCCATGATAGGCTCTTTGCCCTGCGACGGCGACTGATGATCGTATGTCAGTTACCATCTCCTGGAGGATGCGTAGAACAAACGAACCTCAAATTTCATCTGACTGAGCTTGAACAAGAGATCACCAGCGGACTCCTTGACCTTGGCGAATGTCACGTCTTGCGAGGTGACGGCCTTGACAGCAAGATCATGGAACTCGACAAAGTTGCGAAGCATCGCGCTCGTCTTGTAGAACGGACAGAAGCGGTCGTACTCGCTGATGCCGTTCTGCTGGAGGAAGTCGTCCTTGAGCATGCGCGCAACCTCGAGCGTAATCTTGTCGTTCTCGCCGAGAGCACTCTTGCCGACAAGTTGGACAATCTCCGCGAGGTCGTCCTCCTTCTGCAAGATCTCCTTCGTTTTCGTCCGAAGCTCGACGAAGCCAGGTTCAGTCGACTCGTAGTGAGGTTCGAGCACCTTGGTGTACTTGGAATAAGAGACGTTCCAGTTCACGGACGGGAAGTGCTTGCGCTGAGCGAGTTTCTTGTCCAAACCCCAGAAGACCTGCACGATACCGAGGGTTGCCGACGTGACCGGGTCGGAGAAATCACCACCGGGCGGAGAAACGCTTGAAAACTCGTAAGCGCGGGATCGAGCTACACAAGGAATGATACTCACGCGCCAACAATGGAGACTGTACCCTGGCGCACGGGGTTACCAAGAGCAGTAACCTTACCAGCACGCTCGTAGAAGCCAGCGAGCTTGGTACTCAGATAAGCCGGGTAACCAGAATCGGCAGGCATCTCGGCCAGGCGACCCGAAATCTCACGCAACGCCTCGGCCCAGCGAGACGTAGAGTCGGCCATCATGGAGACGTTCGTGCCCTGGTCGCGGAAGTATTCGGCGAGGGTGATGCCAGTGTAGATAGACGCCTCACGAGCCGCGACGGGCATGTTGGACGTATTTGCGACCAAGGTTGTGCGCTTCATGATGGGTTCTTGGCGGTCTCCGACGTCCATCGTCAGCTCGGGGAACTGAAAGCCGTGAGCATTACATTCAGCAATAGGTCTTTCTGTAAGCGTACCTCCATCAAAACCTCGGCCATCTCGTTACCACGCTCACCGCAACCGACGTAGATGATGATATCGCTGTTCGAGAACTTGGACAGCGCTTGCGAGATAACGGTCTTGCCACAGCCAAACGCGCCCGGAATCGCTGTCGTGCCACCTTGCACACATCTAGATGCATCGTTGTCAGGAATTCTGGCTTAGCGGAGCAAGATCGACATACGGGAATAGCGCGTCGAGAATGCGTTGACCAGTAAGTAAGGGATAGTCGGCAGTGTGCTTCTCGGTAACAGGTCGGGGAGCGCGAACGGGCCACAATTGCATGAGCGTGTGTTTCGTAGTCTTGCCCTCAAACTCGGTCTCCATCACAACGTCCTGTGCAAGAAGGGGTCAGAGGCAAGCGTTATCAAGCAACATGGATGCTTACATCGACGGCGTAGCTGCCCTTTTCCGCAACATGTGTGACGGTACCCATCGCCCTCGGCGCAACCATAATCTTGTGCGCATTGACCAGCGAATTCTCGTACACGGTTCCGTAGATATCACCGCCCGAGACGTGGTCGCCGATCTGATACTGTGGTGAGCCTTCATACCACGTTCAAGAGGAGACAACGTACCTTGACATCCGTAGGCGTGAAGTCCCACTTCAGGGAGCGGTCAAGAGCCTCGGTATTAATTCCACGGGGTATATAGATGGACTTTGACAATTCTTGGATGCCCTTGGGTAACGGGCGTCAATCAAGCGCACATGGGCCAAGATAGCCAGAGCAGGCGTACGCGTAGTGGTCGTTGGATACCATCGACGATATTACTCATGAGACCTATGCCAGATGAGCGCACAGCACACTCGCGCATGCAGAGAAGACTACGCACCAGGGCCGAGTTCCACACTGAGCGGCTTGCCGGTCCTCAAGACCGGATCGCCGACAGTCAGTCCCGACGTCTCCTCGTATACTTGGATCGTAGTCTTGTCGGCGTCAATACGAATGACCTCTGCATTATATATCAGACATGTTCAAATATCCGCCATATCCGCGACGCACCGCCGACCAGCTCGTCGTGTCCGACGCGGACAAGCTCGTACATGGCGCATCCGGTCATGTTCTCGGCGACCACGACGGGTCCCGACACGCCGAACACCTGGCCAAAGCGTGACTCGCGGTCCTCATCCGCGATCTTGATTAGGGTCTTCTTTGCGTTGGGTAGTGCGCCCGCCATTGTGTAAACGCGAAGGTTGCTGCAGGTCAACGACCGCTGCCAACTTGAGGCCGCACTTGCTCGGCGCCATCCTTCCCAGGAAACTCGCCACGTGCGCTGCTGACGTCAGTCCCCTCAACTTGAGTCTTACCACCCACAACCATCAGCTATGGCCATACACAGAGGCCAATGTTCCAGAATTGTGATATTCCCTCGAGAGTCTACAAGGACATTGTAGCGAGTCGCTGTCTTGCAGTCTTTTCCTCGGCGGTGTTGAGATTTGACTCAAGGGCAAATATAATCTTTCCTGCCCGCTTACCTTCTATCTGCCAGACAGTCGCCGAGAGTGAAGCCTGGATACTCGTACTAGAGAACCTCTCTCATAAATCCCGATGGCTTGATTGTTGTCTCCCATCACTGCTGCTTTGCGCATACATGGTTCACTATCGAGGTTTCGCCGACAGGCACGTACGGCCCTGGCCGGCTCCTGGCAGGTGTCCGAGCAACTCGTATGTGATGTCTCGGTTTTCACGAGCATCGTGCAAGCGGAGAGGTATCTGGGCCTTGCCACCTACACACTTCCCCGGTTCCGCCCTCTGCATACGGCGGGGGCGGCCCGCCAAATACCGTGCCCGTGACCGCCGGACCATTCTGTTCGGATTCTTTAATGCTCATAGTGTCGTCTGCTGACCCCGGCCCGCTGCGTGCGTACCTCTCTTCCGCTCGTCTACAAAACCACGACGAACATGGCGAAGCGCTTTCCGAGGAGCGCCGTTCTCTTTCAGGCTTCTTGGGATCAGCTTCGCTCGCCATCATGCCTCTCTCTCCAAAGGCGTGTCACATGTTACCCGTTTTGGTGTGTCCTTCTGACGCGCTCTTAGACGTACACGTTCTTGTGCGGTTTCTTCGCGGCTCTCGGCAGCGTAACGTTCGGTACGTACTCCAGCTCAGAGCAGGAACGCGTAGATACTAACTCCTTGAACAGGCTATGGTACGTAGTCCATCCCTCCCATCCCAGCTGTGATCCTCATTCGTGCACAGATCTCGGTATCATTGCCTCCGTGTTGCCCAGCACCAACTTCCTGAACACGGTTGGCAACCCCGACGAGGAAGTGACGGGTCTCATCACCGCCATCCTCTTACTCGGCGCGTTCGCGTCTAACCTTATCGTGGGCAACGTCGCCGACTTTGCTGGTCGTCGTATCGCCATTATCGTTGCCGTGCGTAGACATGATCCCGAATCTCAGATTGAGTATGCTGACCCACGCTAGGTGATTATCTTCCTCGTCGGCGGTACCATTCAAACAGCCGCGCAGAACTTGGGAATGATGCTTGCTGGTGAGCACTGGCGTTGAGACTGGTAACCGGAAGTTTGACTGTCGTTAGGTCGTTTCTTTGCGGGCTGGGGTATTGGCATGCTCGCCATGCTGGCGCCTCTTTACCAGGCTGAGGTGCGGATCATCTAGACAAGATGGTCTCGATACTAATCAGCCGTAGATCGCGCATCCCTCCATCCGTGGACGTCTTACGACTCTCCAGCAGCTTATGTTGGGCATTGGCGCTCTCATTGCCAGCTTCATTGGCTACGCATGCTACACAACGCTTGACGGATACCAGGCGCAATGGCGTGTTCCCCTCGCTATGTACGTGATGGTGTCAGCAATCGAGACCAGCGGCAGTGACACCTATCTACAGCCAGATGGTGCCGGCCATTCCTCTTGGTCTCTTCATTCTCCTGTTACCGGAGTCTCCACGTTGGCTCGCAATGAAGGGCCGCAACGACGAGGTCCTCGAGACTCTTGCGCGTCTCCACTCTCATGGCGACACCAACGACACCTTTGTCCAGTCCGAGTACCTCGACATCGTTACTTCGGTCGAAACCGAGAAGGTGGAGACCGCGCACGCCTGGAGGAAGATCTTTTCGTCTCCCAGCCAGATGCGTAGGGTCATGCTCGGTATCACCCTGCAATTCAGCGCTCAGATGACGGGTGCGTACAGCTCCCATGAACGCGCCAACTACACGTACTGATCGCTCTATCAGGTGTCTCCTGTATTCAGTACTACTCTCCCCAGATCTTTGCATCCATCGGCATTGACGCCGGCTTGACTCTCCTTTTGCAATCCTGCAACTCGATTGTCGCTATCTGTGGCGAAGTTGCCTGCGTCATGCTCGTTGATCGTCTCGGTCGCCGCTGGCCACTGATCTGGGCGAACATCGCTAGCAGTACGCGCAAAAGGTGTTTATCTAGCCTTTCAGATGTTGACGGATCTTTTAGGCTGCACGTTCGTCATCGGCACCTGCATCATCGCTATCTATCCGGCCGGAAGCGGGAATACCGCTGCTGCTGGCGCCTTTGTCGTACGTCTATAGGTCTCGTATGTAAGAGGATATACTCACAAGGACTGTAGACCATGACCTGGATCTTCAACTTCTTCTTCTCTGCTGGTACGTGCCGACATGCGTAAGGTGACGCCTTTGTTGACCCTGTTGGATCAGCCATCGGTCCTCTCACCTGGGCTTACCCCGTCGAGATCTTCACCTCTGCAACGCGCGCAAAAGCAACTGCTATTACGTCTAGTGCTGCTTGGATTGCCAACTTCATGATCGCGCAAGTCTCCCCGCCTGCGTTTGCTAACATCGGTTGGAGGTAAAGCTGTCTTGCTTAGGGCTCCTGTCCAAAGGCTGATGTCTCGCGCCAGGTACTACCTCGTCTTTGCCATCTGCGGCTTTACGAACGCCTTCACCATATGGTGCTTCTTTCCAGAGACTGCCAATCGAAGCCTCGAAGTAGGTGTACCTGCTATGCTTGCCTTGTCACCCGCAACTGACCCAGAATTCCAGGAAATGGACGAGTACTTCTCGTTCAAGAATATGCCGCTGTTCGTTCCCGCGGCAAAGGTGCCCGAAGTTGGTCGCTTCACCCGGGAGGAAGAGATGGCACGCGGCGAGACTATCCGCGATGTCGACTCGACGCACAAGGAGGACCTTGTCGGCGAGAAGGCACACATCGAGCATAATGCATGATGATTGTTACGACTTGTGTTACGCTGTTATGGGCACGTGCTCTATCCTGTACTTTACCTGGGCTCTGAATGTTTACAATGCTCTGCCTGCTCGTGTAGTACCGCCGCAGCGGCCAGTTGTAGGCCGCTATAAGCAACCATCTCGCGCCGGCGGTGAAGGCCAACGACTTTCTCACGTGACCGCGCTTCCAACTCGGCTCCCATTGCCGTCAGGATGTTCGTTGTCTGACCTGTGGGTTGTATCTCTTATTCTTGTCATCATGATGCGTGGTATATTTGCAGAGCGGGTAACTTAGGCCTTCACTCTGTGCAATACTGGCGATCAGTATCCTCTATCGCAGTCACAGTCCCGTTCCCCACTGCCTAGCAGGCTAGCACAGTCCAGTCAGCGACCCTTCCGTTCAAAGACTTTTGGTAAGAGCGCCCAGATGCTAGCATGCTCAACCTGGCCAGGGATGATGATCATCAGGGCACCATTCTCCTCAAGGAAAAGTTCATACCTCTACCTCGAGTATTAGTCCTCCGGATGTAGGTCGCAGCCAGATAGCACCTATCTCCGCCTGATTACAGCAGGGCCGAGTCAATGACACAACAAGAACGCACCGGGCAGTCGGCGCGGGTCCTTGATGCGTAATAAGAGCGCGAATAGCGGGAACTCGTTCATCGCGTAGAGAAGGACGCCTCCGGTCGACACTAACACCATGATGAGGGTATTCAGCTGTGCTTGACGTGAGCCACTGACAAAAAGCTTCTGTGAAGGAGGGCATTACTATAGCAAATAGCGCGGTATATACTGCTACTGTAGGGAACGAGAACGTCAGAAGCGTGAAGAGTAATGTCCCAAGAAGCAGCTGGTCGACTTCGTAAGAGTACGTGTCCACATGTCCTCGCAGGGCATTGTATCGCTTGCCTATGCAGATATCAGCCTTCTTTCTGCACAAAGTTTACGCTATACGTACCGCGAAACAGGTTCCAAAGGGATCCTAGAGTGCGCGTCTCAAATGCGAGTACTGATGTCAGGATCAGATGGCATATTGTAGCCGGCAAAGTGAAGATGCGCAAGAGATCGAGGGCCAAAGATAAGGCCAGAGTGAGGCCGCCGTATGCGGCATAACCCGCAACACGTATGATCAGGGGTAGGTAGGGGAGAAGACACCCGAGGCAATCTAAGATGCCATCAGCGACTATCATCTCCGCGAAAATAGACGGAAACTTCACCAGACCAGGTATCGGCAATAGTCAGCAATCCTTTGCACAAGAAACGACTGAGTTCCGTATTGAGCTTCAACCCCGCGGGCCATGAGTCCAACCACAAGAGGGCACTGCGGACAAAATCTACGCCATTTTTCTGGGAAACAGGAGTAAAAATTTGCACAGTATTGCGACGCAAGTGGACTGACCATGTAAGCTGAGCCAAGGACAGCTCCCAGCATATCACTCTGGTAGATCGCGAATCGACCAAGTATGACACCCATGACGAGATCGTTTAATATCAGCCACAGACCATTGCTGAATCTACAAACAATTAGTCTTGGTCCACGCCAGCGGGGGAAGCAACTGACTTATGCTGGCTCGCCCACGCACTTGGACTCTCGAGCGCATAAGGGTCGGAGGACGATAACATGTCGGAGAATACGACCGATCGAGCGCGAATCTGGTCGACTAAACAATGAACGTCAGATTGCGTATGATAGTGTATCACGAGAGTTCGTAAGCCTACCTAGCTGTGAATGACGCGTGAATGATGAGTCATGAAGCTGCCAGGAGCCCATGTGGGCTGAAAGCCAAGCATGCAGACGCGGGAGAGCCTCCTGAGTTCGCCATGACGATACCGGTGTCAGTCGTTCGTGGATCTTGTAGCACGCATTAAGCTTGATGAAGAGGTCAATTCGACATGGCGCACTATATTGCCGGCAGTGTATACCTCATTGAGGGTCACATCGTTCAATACTCCCGGAAATGTGGGGGCAGTCTGAGATAGACGCATAGCAGCATATCCCATCTGAGAGCGTCTGTACATGATGAAACGGACTTCGTCGCGTTCAGACTGCACTCTGCGGATCCGAGTTTCGTCTGAGCTCCGTTGATACGCTTGATCCAGTAAAGAGCGTGCACCTTTCCACCAAACTCAAACGCGGCTTATGGTCCTCGCTCAGACGTGATGCTAAAGCGTTGCTTCCCAGTCTCTGGAGGGATGTGTACAACGACGCTGCATCGCGAGTGCATTTGAGATGTCTAAGCTGAGCTTCGGCCTCTTCGACGGTCCAAGAAGCAGGTAGAACACCAGCAACGACAAGCAGAGGCCGTTCAGGAGTATACCAGCCATACGCGTGCCCTGCGACGGCGATATCTTCGAGTGGGAAGAACACGAACATTATCAAATAGCGGACATGGTGGTTCGAGCTAAAGCAATAAATGGGGATAATGACGCGCGCCTCGTGATGAACGGTTGGTTGACTGCGACGCGACTGCCGATGTTCAGGGCGCCCAACCCACCACCACCACCTTCGCCCGCAGCTACCCCAGTCGCCCCCTCTTGGCCGTCGGTAAAGTCACTTCCTCCTGTGAGCATGGTCCCCACGTCGTTCGCCGCTGCCCAGGTTATCCTTACCGATGCTCGCGTGCAGGTCCTGTCCTTCGCGCTTGTATAACTGAATCATGGAGGCTGGGCGACGGCCAGATCTGAAGAAGAAGCTCGTCGTCGTAGGAGATGGTGCGTTCTATACGCTCTATACATGTCACAACTCTCAGTCTCTTCTGCAGGTGGCTGCGGCAAGACGTGTCTGTTGATTGTGTACGCCGAGAACCGCTTCCCCGAGGTGCGTTATCGGCCAATGTACCCGCTAAACCCACCTGTTAATCTCCTTTTACAGGCATACATTCCAACTGTATTCGAGAACTACGTGACACAAGTTCCCTTCGAGGGAAAGAGCGTTGAGCTTGCGCTCTGGGATACGGCCGGACAGGAAGAATACGACCGTTTAAGACCGCTCAGCTACCCTGAAAGCGATGTCATCTTGATCGTATTCTCCGTCGACTTCCCTGTATCGTTAGGGAACGTTCAGGATAAGGTGTGTAATTTGAAGCTCGTTCCGAACCCCACAATACACTCGTCACGCCACGCTCTTCGACCAGAGATCCAGTCGTATTGACGTGCGCGCAGTGGTTCCCCGAAGTTGCGCACTTCTGCGAAGGTGTGCCACTCATTCTTGTCGGTACCAAGACGGATTTACGGCGGGATGAAACAACGCGAAGGATGCTTGGCGCGCAAGGTCAACGACCAGTTTCGGCAGAGCAGGTGCGACCTTTCTTTCCCATTGTCCACGATGTCTGTCTTAATTAAAGCGCGCTTACACGTTTTCAGGGACAGGAGGTTGCGCGCGAGATAGGAGCGAAGTACGCCGAATGCAGTGCGAAGACGGGGACCGGTGTTGCAGATGTGTTCGCGCTCGCACTACGAGAGAGCATGCGCAGTCAGTGGGGTAAGAGGTTGAAGAAGAAGGGCTGTGTCGTCACATAGCGCTTCGGGCGGTAGTATCACGACCTCATCTTCTCGACTACACTCACGGCGAGCCGGGAGCCTGCCGGCGCGGACTGGACTTACTCCTTTGATTACTACCTGATTTATTGCTGCCATCTTTTCGGTCTTTACGTCTCTGTGAATGCTACATCCATTGCTCCGTGACAATGAACTGACGTCTACGCTTCGTCGTGCTTTGATCTTCTGGGATCATCACCTGCGAATGCGCAGGTGTGCTGAAGGATGCGATGTATCCGGTCAAGGAATGGTCAATCTGAACAAATTCGACACGCCCTAATCGACCTGCTCATCCAGACGCGTTGGAGCCTACAGGAAGACAGGCTAACTGCTATCAGAGTCTCTACGCTGGGTAGCATTCGACAACAGTCACTGTACCGCCGCTAGTGTTGCAGGACCTGTACTCCCAGCGGATGGGCACAGGATCGGTGCCGGCCATACGTTCAAGACCTTCGTGATTACGAGTATGGGAACTATGCGCACGGTCGATTACGACGCCGATCCAACAAGACGAGGAAAAGAAACGGGCACAACGCACACCCAGAGGAGGGTACGCGAGCGCAGCGTGACACCGGACCATTGACAAACACGAAGTATATGCTTTGGGCCTTTGGCCAACCTTTTGGCTAAGATCGGGACCAATGAGCGCGATGAAGGTTCCGCACAGAACCTCAGTACACGAGGGATGTATAGAACTAGACAAGATCGGTGAGATCATCGGGCCAGAGACGACAGTTGGAATCGTACGCGGCGTTGACCGCTGGCAGCTTCCTCGCTAGCTAACGGTACACAGAGTTTTCTCCGCGCCATACGGCTCATAGAAGTTGGCGAGCCCAGAGTGCATACCCCAAGAGCACTCAGGATGACATTTCGCTGAGACGCGAATAGATACACTCGACAGGAGCGCGCCGAGACGTACTTGTCTGCCTCGAGAACTGAGCGAATTCGAAGACGCGAGTAGTTCTCAGGCAAAACTGCGAGTTCACGAGATCCAGCCGGCATCTAAGTACCTGTAACTCTATCCCACGCGCTTTATCCTCAGTGCAAGGCTTGCACTCAACTGCTTTGCATGACAGGGTAACAGGACATAACGATAGATACGGAGAAGGGACCATGATGGTCGGGCAGCAACCTATCGCGTCCAGTCCACTGGCGTGACCAACAGCATGTGACGCATCAAAGCAAGTTGGACGACTCCGTACGCATCGATGATGGCTCAAACCATCATGGTCTATCCGTGCACCGCTTTCAGAGACCTTGGTGAAACGCTACTACAGTCAAGGATGCGACATGACACCCAGTGTGCGTCGGGTGTGCTCTACATGTAGTCCGCGCGACAGCCACAACTGGCTGGTACCAGGTCTGAGACCGAGACTGCGCTTCAGGGCTTTCCTTGGACGCGCAACTCGATGATTCGACGTGGCGAACAGTGCGAGCTACATCCGGTTGATCTTCACTATCGCGAGCACCGCTCGCTCGAGCATTCTCCTCGACGAACCGCAAGTAGCGGAGTAGCTACATCTGAAGCCGTCAACGACTGTGGCCGTATATGCATGCGCGCGCCACTTGCTCGAGACTCGATTCTGACCGACCTCCTCTCATGCAACGGTGCTCCACTCGTGGCTCTCGCGTTACCACTCACAGATCCCCAAGGTGCCTAGCGTAGCCCATATGTTCGAGTGAATCGACAAACGCAACTTCGTGTTGCACAGCGCAAACTACAATTACCGAGGTACATCGCGGGTACTATATATGTAGCATCGGTCTAAGTATAGCTCTCACTACGTATCGAGCGTCCTTTCTGGCAAACACACTCGCGTGAGTGACTGAGATCTGAACGCCCGTGGATCTCGGCGCAACGCTCTGTAGACGTCGACAAGCCATACCTGGTTGAACCCGCGATGGCCGAATGCGATGTATGAACGCCACATATACGCCGCTCAATACCCGATCCCGCTCGTGAGTCGTACGGCAATCATCCCCATCCTTGCCGCATGACAAGGGCCGATACGTATGCGCCGACATCATATCACCTACATCACCGCTCCCATCCTCCCTCGAACCTTCCCAAACCGGTACAAACGCACCCCGATACAGATTCCTCAACCCCTCAACCCCCTGAACGAACTCAGTCAGGCTTTCACGCACCCGCAGAACAACCGCAGAACATCGCCACTAAGCCTGCCCGACATGATCAATTCGTCGTCGCGTCGTGCCAAGTTCTGATTGAATAGAACAAAACAAGCCTTATTTGGAAAGTGCGCGATGTTCGGTCCAGAGTCTAGACTGCATACACGCGCTAGTGCATGGATGAGGAGTCAGACGCGTACGAATAAGGGTATAGTCGGGACAAAGCAAGGCTGTCGTGTGTAGGCCGAGGAGTCAGGACAAAGCAAGCACGACCGAACGAGAGCGCGAAAAGGCAGCGAGTTGTGGCGTCGGCGTCCGGGCCGAACACGCCGGGCGGCTCAATCGCCACTGGATGCCACACACAGCGCGCGCGCGGAACTGGCCATCCTACAATCCCTCCTACAACCGGGTATCGTCCAACACGTACAGGTCCACCCGCCAGAACATGACTCGCCATCCATTCGATATGTCGCAGCCCCCTGATCAGTGGCCAGTCGCCGCAACATCAGCTGAGGACCCTGGCGGCGCAAAGAGTACGAGGCGTGTCAATGTGCTGCTATTCCGCGTCAGAAGCCTGGAGCGAGCTTCGCGAAGCGCATGGGAAACCCTCGCACGTCTTCGTGTCAATGCGGTAGGCGGCGGCGGCGGCGGGAGGTTGAGCCTTGCGAAGCCGGCGGGACGTCGATGATGAGCAGGGAGAAGCAGGGCGTTCGTAAAAGACGGTGAGGCAGGGTTCGCGGGCAAGTCGGGCGCCGCGCACGATGTGAGGATTCGCGTAGGCTCGAGTAGAGCATACGTACAATCGTCGTTCATAGTTCGAACGTTCGCAATCGGATATTACCTTCTCCAAGCACGAAAGTTTGCATCGTGTCGTTCCAGACTTCTTGCCCGGCGCAAAACCTGTATGCACGCAGCCGGCCGCGTGCACGATGGGCGAGCGGAAGCAGATCTGGGGGGCGCGACGGGAGCTGATTAGAAGACAAAGCCATCCGATAGTGACGAGACGAGGTAAACGATATACAGAGAGCGTTCCGCAGACTAGGGTGGGCCGCTGGGGCGCGGGGGAGGGAGGAGCGATACGGGGAGAAGACGAGAAGACACGGAAGCGGGAGCAGGGCGGGTGGAAGCGACGTATGAGGGGCAGAGGGTACGAGAGCGTGGAAGGCATGAGGAGATACTGGAGAAAAGAAAACTGTGATATGGGTTTCGTGGGTAGAGGATAGGAGACGAGAGCACGAGCATAGAGAGAAATCCGAGTCAAATCAAGACATACTAGACAGATAGAGAGGCAGCAACAACCATTTTATCGTACACACGCTCGACGGAGAAGATGATCATGAAAAGACGAAAGAAGCGGAGATTGTCTAAGCGCGGCCTTCCATCGGCATCGCGACGTTCATGCCGTGCATGCCGTTGACGAAGTGGCCAGGCATGCCATGCATCGGCGCGTAGGCGGGCATGGGGCGTGCGTGGACCTGGGTGAGCGGGACAGAGTCCTGTACGGGCCCGCGGATGTACGAGACCTGCTGCTGGGGTGGCGCGGCGGGCTGGACGACCTCGTGCACGCGTGTAAGCGGCACGCCTTCTTGTACGTAGGACACCGCCTGGGCCTGTACTTCGTTGACGCGCGCGAGGGGCACGCCCTCCTGCACGGGCGCGCGGGCGTACGCGGGCATGGGGTGGCCGTACTGGGGCGGCGAGACCTGCTGCTGCTGGACCTGGGCCGGCTGAGGCGGCGGCGTATACTGCTGCTGCTGCTCCTGCGGGACTTGAGCGGGAGCCGGCGGCGGCGTGTACTGCTGCTGCTGCTGCTGCTGGCGTGGCTCGGGCGAGCCGTACGCGTACTGGGCCTGCTCGACGCGCACGTGCTGTTGAGCGTGCATGGCAGGCGCCGGGGTGGGGTAAGCGTACGGCTGAGGCGGAGCGTAGTAGGGCGGGGGCGGGGCGTAGTAGACGCCGGCCGGCTGCTGCTGCTGGACCTGGTAGCCTTCCTCCCGGGGTGCGTAGGCGACTGGGGCGGGGTGGTAGTAGTAGTGGGTGGGCGCCGGGCCGTGGGCGTAGTAGTGGTCGTGGGGTGGCGGGTAGGTGTAGTAGACATATCCGGGGCCCTGCTGGAGGTGGAGGTGGTCGGGCGGGAATAAAAGGAGCTCGCCGGCGTCGAGCCCTGGCTTGATCGCAGGGCCGTGCTGGCCGGAGAGCGGGTTGTTGCTGCCATCGCGCTTCTTATAGGGACCGCGCTTGAGGCCCTTCTTGCGTTCCTTGCGCACGCTGTCGACGCACTCCTCGCCGACGCCGTACTTGACGCAGCGAAGGCACGGTCGGGCGTCGTCGCACTTCTTGCACGCCTTTTGGCAGTGCGTGCACGCGTTCTTCACCTGCCGCCGTTTCGCACGGACGACGACGGGCTGGGCGGCGGCGGCGGCGGAGGGGGCCTTGGCGGTCATCGTGGCTGGCGAAGGAGGCGATTCGTGCTGGGGGAGGGAGTAGAGCTGCAGACCGGCTTGGTCGTGGTCGTCCATGGCAGGCTGTGGACAAGAGGCGTGACGGCCGTCAGAATTACGCTTAATCAAGCCGAAGAAGAGAACAGGCGCCCGCCGCGTGTGGCTAAGCTAACCTTCCCTGCACGCCCTCGGCCCGCAATTTCGCCTGGGGGCGCTTCCCGGCGACGTCCAGCATCGCAGCGGGCGGGAAGCGCGTCTCAGGCGCGCAGACGATGAAAGGAAATGGCAACATACGCGATGATCGAGGGCGGATGCGGAGGGTAGCCAGGTTGAAGGTCCGACTGCCGGATTCTGCCCCGGCGCCATATTCGTGCTGTGATCTTGCCCTGTTTCCGAGCCCGGCAACCGGTCTCCTTAAGTAGTCCTACGTCCTATGGGCGGAGATCCTTTGTGACCCTCTGGCGCACAGCAGTTGCTTTGTTCGTTTGCGCTATGTGTGGATCGGGACTACAAAGCTTACTTTGCGGGGACGGTACGCATTGTTAAGCGCCGAAAGGGCACGTGGAGCGCGCGTGTGCCCTGCCGCGGCCATCACCGCGATGGCTCGAGACGCGAGGCGCGTTCTCGAACTGGCGGCCAGCGACCACTACGACGTGCCTCTGTGATGGAGTACGTCGACAAGAGCCCGCGAGCGCGCAAGGACAGGCCGCCCGCGCTCGCCATCCAGCACTCCAGTCCCCACCAGCAAAAGGTATGTAAATATATTTATTCCTTTCAACCTGCCAACCATGAGCGCATCGCTGACAACGACGACGACGGTGCAGATAGTGACGCCGGACGAGGTGCAGCAGCCGTCTGCCATCTCGCGCTCGACGTCCGCCAGCTCGTCGCTCGACCCGTATTATTTCCAGAACCACTCGACGGACAACATCTCGCCCGCCCCGCCGCTCCCGGTGGTGCCTCAGGAACCGCGCACGCCCGACGCCCGCGGCACATCGACCTTCCAGCCCACAACGCCCCACCGCGACCCGGCGACAATTGACCGCGGTGCCTTGCACGGTCTGGGCGAACTCGCGACGCCGCGCTGGACACGGCGGAACAGGGACGAGGACGAGGAGCAGTATTCTCAGGACTTGAGCGTCGTGCACGAGTCGCCTGGCCAGGACGAGCCGCAGCAGGACGAGGCGGACATTGCCGAACAGGATGCGCCCGACAGTCCGTGGACGATCGAGGCCATCGACGGCGAGGGCGACGAGAACGCAGACGACGTTCGTGTTTCATTTCATTTCATCTTCTATCATAAACTCAAACCCGCCAGCAGATCCCTACCACCGACCACCAACTGCACCACAAGCGCTCCATCGCAGACGACAGCGGCGCTGAAGAAATTGTTTATCCGCGTTCTCTACCTGTAGCTGCTCCGCCTCTGCCGCCGCCACCTGGCACACCCTCTCGCGCTCCGCCAACAGTACCGCCTGCTTTCCTGTCTCCCATGCGTCACGCAAAGAAACGCTCCTCTGACGACTTTGAGCGCGAGCATCCCATTCCCGTCAAACATTCTCGCAGTCCGTCTGACACCAACAAGACGCCTGCAAAGGACAAGGATATCGGGGCTCGCAAACATCGCAGTCTAGGCGCAGCGGCCGTTCTCAGTCCGCCTGCCGTATCTGCTTCTAGCCGCGAGAAGGGCCGCGAGCGCCGTCGCGAAAGCGCCAGCACATCGGGCCTCCCACCAGCAGCCGCCAGCAAAGATCGTCACGCCCGTCACCCGTCCGCTGGCAGTGTCTCTTCTCCGCGCGCCCACGGTCATAGCGCAACCGGCGACTTTAGCCACCTCCCACCTTCTCCCTCTCAGTCCAGCATTCAACACTTCTTGCGACACGTCAATTCAGCTGGCCAGATCACCAACTCACCGCCCGGATCTGCAAAGGACCCAGTCCACGTCGCTCACTCTCTTCTTCGTGGCACCCAAGAAAGCTCCAGCGATCTTGACGCGGAGGCCCTACGCCGACTCGATGGACTTGGTGGTAAGCGTGGCAGTCGTGCTAGTATAGCCAGTCGCCCTGGTACACCCGCCCGCGCCAAGGATCGCGATAGCGCCCAGTGGGAAGGCGTGGGTAGCGACAAAGGCTCGCGCCGCTCTTCTACCCACCACGATGTTTCTTCTGGTGCGGATGACAACGGAAAGCGTCATACCGCCCGGCTCAGCACCGGTTTCGCGCCAAAGCGAGGCTCGGCGGGAAGCACTACATACACCAGCGCGAGTGGCAGCGTTGGTACTCCGACTACAACTGCTTCTTCTCGTGACAGCACTAGCTTGAGCGCTGCCACGAGTGTCACGAGTATGAGCACTGGTACACCGAAGCGCGGTGCTAAGCGCAATTCTGGCGGGAGCGATGCTAGCGGTCTCGAGGATGACGAGCATCACGGGAGGGAGCAGGGGGTCCCACCTGTACCTCCGCTTCCGAAGGACTTGGCTCTCCGCTCTCCTCCACCAAGCTCGCACAGTGGTACCTTCGACCCTTACGCACCCCAAGTTCCCCGCAGACTTCACGGCGATCCCGCAGCGAGCTCTGTTCCACCGTCGGCATCGACCGACGCCGCGTTCTCAACCATATCTTCGGAGCCTGTGTTTACGCCTAATGAGCCCGAGGCGGATGATGGCGATAGTCCTGTAGCTGTTACAACGGACGCATACGCCGTGACGACGGATGCAGAGGAGTACACACATGCTCTTACCACGGACGCCGAGTACACCAGCAGCTCGAGCCAGCAGATCACCTCCCATCACCCTCGCCGCGCAGCGAGTCCTCCCCGCCGCATCGCCAGCCCACCACACCGCACCGCCAGCCCGCCCACTCTCCGACGCCGCGCAACGAGTCCGCCCGCTGCCTCTGCGACGATCTCCACTCGCACACCCAGCAAGAAATGGAGTTTCACCGGCGGCTTTGGCAAACGCCCCTCGCAAGCTCATACGGCGACATCACCCGCGCACTCGACCGGACCTGTGTCGAGTGTCTCTGCTGGTAGCAAAGGCAGCCCGCTCAGCGGCGGCGGATCCGCGAGCCCACGCACCGCGACATTCCCTGCGCAATCTAGGCGCTCAGAAAGCCGGGACCGGTCCACGGAACCGTGGGGCTCTCTCCAGCCCGATGCGATGGGCAGCGCAGCCTCGCTCTCCTCTCTCGCGTCGAGCAACCAGCAACACCACCACTTGCCCGCGCGTACGCCCGACAGGCATTTGTCGGTGCAGTCCGGCTCGTCGAGGCCGCCTACGGCTGAGGCTTCTGGACCTATGAGCCCGGGCGGGAGCGTGAGGAGGGGCGCGAGCAAGCGGTTGACGCCGAGCTCTATTCCGTTCTTTAGGAGGAGCAGCAGTCAGAGTATGGCTCCGCCCCCGCCTTCGTCCTCTTCGCACGGTTCGACGCTCGAGGCACACGGTCGTTCCGATCGGGAGAGGGATAGAACGAGCCCGGGCATCGACTCGAGCGTCTCGACACCCGGACCGGCTGCGAGCAAGAAGAGCAGCATGCTCAGCCTCGGCGCATTGTTGAAAGGCTCGAGCTCGCGCCGGAATCTGGCGGATAACAGCCAGACGGATTACCGGTCTGATAGGGCGGAGAGGGGCACGGATCGGGAGAATGTGAGCGGGTTCGGAGGCGGGATTGGCGGGAGGAGGGACAGGGAGCGCGAGAGGGAGAAAGGGAAGGAGCGCGAGAGGCGGGTTGAGGGCGAGGGCGAGAGCACGTCGAGGACGCCGAGGAAGAAGGACGATAAGGATGCGAAGGAGAGGAGCGAGAGTCGGATTAGCGTGTTGATGCGCCGTAGGGGCAAGGTGAGCTTTCTTTCGTTGTTTCCTTGCGATGTTCAAGCGCGGCGTGCGGCTCGGGGGAATTGTGGCACTTGTTTGGTTGTTCGTTGAAGAGAAGACGGGCGCACGTGCTGGTTCGTGGCCACACTTGCCACGCCCGTGCCCTCCGACCTGCGCTTTGTTCCCCCTTCATGACCGTGGCATGGCCTCTTTGCCCTTTGAACCGCAGCACCCTGGTGGCTCTGACAGCTTGACAAATTGGCTGACGATCCCTCCGCAGACCGTCTCGTCGACCGACCCGAAGAAGGCGCATCCGGTCTCGCTCCCGCCGATGCAGATGTCCGCGCTTCCGCCCTCGACGACTCAGCGGCTGGCTACGCTCTCGAAGCCCGGCTCTCAGGCATCTCTTGGTTCTGGCTCGAGTACGGCGTCTACGCCCTCGCGTAGTGTCTCGGGCCAGGGCGTCTCCCGCGTTACGCAGCCGACGGCGAGCAGTCTGCAGCGCGCGGCTGAGCGCCAGGCTGATGCGCACAGCTTGGCGCGGTCAAGCGATACCAGCTTGCGCTCCCGTGGTGCCGCTCTACCCACTATTGCCGGCTCACCGTCTGTCGGGACGATCACGAAGAACGGCGAGGCTGCTGCGGGGACCAAGATCCCGCGTATCCACAGTCGGACGAGCACCGTCACCAGTCCCGCGCTGAGCAAGAGCACGCGGAGGCAGAGTCTACTCGTCGCAAGCACCACCGGCACATCGTCCAACGAGCCTAGTCCGACGCCAGCATCCGAGTTTGGCGTGTTGGATTCTCAGGGCGCATCACCGACGAAGGGTTCTGGTTCGACGCTCACTGCTTCGTCCCGCGTGCGTGCATCACCGAGCAGCACGAGCAATGGTTCTGCCGCGGCCCGACCACGGCCCAGTGGGAGTGGAGGCGGTAGTGGTATCCCGACGAGCGTGCGGAAGAACCGCGAGTCGTTGAGCTTTGGCGGGTTGCGGAAGAGCAGTACGAGCTCGGTCGCGAGTGTTACTGCCAGCGACGCGAGCCACGCTGGTGGCCACAGTACCGCGAAGGAGGCGCATGCCCATGCGACGCCCAGCCATGGTCATCGGTTCAGTGCGCTCAGCCCGAGTAAGGGTCTGAAGTTGCTGTCGCCGAAGGTGCGCGGGAGCTCGACGCCAAGTCGCTCAAGTATGGCTGCGAGCATGAGCACGCCGAGTCCGCCGCCTGCTGTAGATGCCGAGGAGGTCGCGGGCGACGAGGAGATGTTGCAGTATATCAAGCGTCAGCAGGCGAAGAAGCTGGCGCATGGCGCGTCGCAGGAGGAGTTGGATGAGCTGTTGAAGTTCCCTGAGCCGACGCCGCCGGTGCAGGCTATGAACCCGTCTTGTGAGTATTGTTCCGGTGTTACGTGGGAGTCGGAGTTAACTTCGTGTGTGTAGCCATCCTGAAGGGCTCCCAGCGCAGCCAGCTGAGTGAGTACGAGCAGCAAGAAATCCTCGAGTATTCCTCTGCGTACTTCCTCGGTGGAAGCGGGAAGAAGCCCGCGCATCCCGATCGGCCGACGAATAACTTCGGCTACGACGACGACCGGGGCGATTACCTCGTTGTGGATGGGGACCATCTGGCATATCGGTATGAGGTTATCGGTACGCTCGGGAAGGGCTCGTTCGGGCAGGTGCTCTCGTGTCGGGATCACTGTACGGGCCAGATGGTGGCGATCAAGATTATCCGGAATAAGAAGCGGTTCCATCACCAGGCGCTGGTCGAGATCAAGATACTGGATAATCTGCGCAAATGGGTGAGTTGTGGTCGTTCGTACTGGAGTCTGAACGGTACTGACCTTGCGAACAGGACGCGGAGGAGAAGCACCACGTTATCAAGATGACCGAGCACTTCTATTTCCGGAATCACCTTTGCATCGCGATGGAGCTGCTCAGCATCAACCTGTACGAGCTGATCAAGGCGAACGGCTTCGTCGGCTTCACAACCGCGCTCATCCGCCGCTTCACAAGCCAAATGCTACTCTCACTCGTCCTCATGCGTCACCATCGGATCGTCCACTGCGACCTGAAGCCCGAAAACGTCCTGCTGCGGCATCCGGCAAAGAGCGCTATCAAGGTCATCGACTTCGGCAGCTCGTGCTTCGAGCATGAGAAGATCTACACGTACATCCAGTCGCGCTTCTACCGCTCTCCAGAAGTCATCCTCGGCATGAACTACCATATGGCCATCGACATGTGGTCGCTCGGTTGCATCCTGGCTGAGCTCAAGACCGGGTTCCCCATCTTCCCTGGTGAGAACGAGCAGGAGCAGTTGGCGTGCATCATGGAGGTCCTTGGCGTGCCGGACAAGGACTTTGTCGCGCGTTCATCTCGCAAGCGGTTGTTCTTTGACTCGACTGGCGCGCCTCGCCCCGTTGTCAACTCGAAGGGTCGCCGTCGTCGGCCCGGCACGAAGCAGCTCGCTCAGGTTCTCCGCACGGACGACGATCTGTTCGTAGACTTCATCGCGAAGTGCCTTGTCTGGGATCCCGAGCGCCGAATCAAGCCTCAGGCCGCGCTCAAGCATCCGTTCATGCTTGCTGGGAAGCACACTCCATCTTCCATCCCGCAGACGCCGTCGCGCGGCCTTTCGACGCCCAGCAGCAAGAACACGAGCTCGTCGTCTCTTGTCAGCAGCTCACGTAAGAGCGCTGCTGCCACAGAGACGCCGAAGAAGAGCTTGATCAGCGCACCAGCGCCGCTCAGCGCCAGGAGGACGACAAGCTCGAACGTCACGGGTACACCTAGCGCTAGCGGGAGCAGCACGCTCAGCTCGAGCCGGTCATATCGCGCTTCGGGCACTGCTGCTAGCTCATCGGGTTACCACTCGAGCAGGACGCTCAACGGGTTCACTGTGCGATAGTCTTCGTTCTCGTCTGTTTATATACTCTCTATTCGTCTATCTGTCTCTCCCTTCCCCTCACATGTTAGTTACTATCCGTCTCTGGATCGCCCTGCCCTTCTCCCCTCGCTAGTCTTTTCACGCATGCACGCCCCGCACGTAATCGTACAATAAATGACCGGAATTACCCCAGGCTGCGCCTGGGCGCATACCCCGCGGCACTCGTATTTTACCCAGTCTCCGCTTTGCAGAACGACTACACGCATAACACCGATATATACGACCCGCCGCTAGCCGTGCTTGCTATCCCAAGTTTTTCTTCCCACTTTCACGTCTTTACAGTTGCTCTCAATGTTGTCCATTTGTTCTATTCGATATTCTGGTCGAACTTTTTTGAGTTCTCATCTCCTTGGGGTATCTCCGATAGTTCTGCGCTGAAGTGTGAACGGTTGAGAATGTGAAACAGGGCATGAGGAGCGTGGCGCGCGAATTGGAACTTCGACCTGTACCACCACCTGACGTCTTTTACGCGCTCTTCGTGAGATATATGTCCTTCATCGTCGAAACACCGTCTGTCATGCAGGTGCAACAAGCTTCGAAGCATGCGGGCTGCGGCGTGCTGTTATGTTGTCCGTTCAAGGCCGACTAGGCTTGTAATAGGGCTGAATTGCCATTCAAACGTTCATAAGAGCGTAGGTGATGCGTAAAGCCACAAGTGGATCGATACTCGGACTTACGAGTCCGCCATTCAGTTTCAGTCAACGGCAAGTACGGTTTTCGCGGCTGGGCTCCTTGCAATTAGATGGGAGATCGACGGACTAAATTTGAGTATAGGAGCGCTTGATGCAACCTGACCTCGGCACGCGGGTGAATGCACGATGTGTAAATGGCGCTGTGCGGCGTATATAACCTTCTGGGCCTCAAGAGGCCCGCAAAGCTTCGCGTCGCTCTCCTTTCTGACCTGTAGCTACGCGGCTTGACAAGCAGCTCTTGCTGTCATGCTTTCACGCACTCTTTTCCAGGTTTTGCCTCTCCTTCTCTCTTCTCTACCTTCGACTTGGGCTCTCGGTTCGCACTGTTCTGCTCCTCTTGGTGCGGGTACAGCCGCTCCCGGCGAACCATACTGGCTTCAGAACATCACCCACCAGGGCACCGCGCCTTATGCCACCTCAAACTACACCGTCTTCCGCAACGTCAAGGACTATGGAGCCGTCGGAGATGGAATAGCGGATGATACTGAGGCTATCAAGTGCGTCATCGTCCTCGGATCTCGAGTCTGCAATATGAGCGCTGATAGTGCCGCTCTTGTAGCGCAGCTATTGCTGATGGAGACCGTTGCGGCGAAGGATGCGGATCAACGACTGTCACTCCAGCCGTGGTCTACTTCCCTCAAGGAACATACCTCGTCAGCGCGCCCATTCCTGTGTACTACTACACCGAGCTTGTCGGCGATGCACGAGAGCTCCCTACGATTCTCGCATCTCCGGACTTCAATGGCTCCTGGGTACTCGATGCTGACCCGACCAAGGCGGATGGCAGCGACTGGTACATCAACCAGGGCAAGTAGTTCCGCCGTGCGTATTGCTGGAGGCGTGGCGTTGACTGGATGCTTTCAGATAGCTTCTATCGCAGCATTCGCAACCTGGTCATTGATCTTCGGGACATGAACGCTACGTCCGGCACAGGCATCCATTGGGAAGTCTCTCAGGCTACTTCGCTTTACAACATCGTTGTCGAGATGTCCGACGCCAACAACACGGGACAACTTGGCATGTTTATGGAGGATGGTTCTGGTGGCTTCATGGCTGACCTTGTGTTCAATGGAGGTACGTGACATACTCACTTAGCGCCACTGTTCTTGCCGGCTTACGAGTTCGGCGCGTAGGTGCTGTCGCTATGATGGTCGGCAATCAAGTACGTTGTATCCCTTGTGCCTACAATCCATTTCTTCTGACATTCTCGTAGCAGTGAGACAGATCAAGCATATCTCGTCTTGATAGTACGCTCACTCAGATCCTAGATTCACAGTCCGCAACGTCACCATCAACAACGCAGTGACCGCTGTCTCTGCACTATGGGGTTGGGCTTGGACCTGGCAAGGTGTAACGATCAACAACTGCTCCGTAAGTCCATCTCGAGACCATTCAAGATGTGAACGCTAAGACTCTAGCCCATAGGTCGGCTTTGAGATTGCCGACGGCGTAGGCTCGGAGACTATCATCGACGCCGTCGTGACCAACACCCCGGTCTTCATTGAGCGAAGCAATACTACATCGACGATGCTCGACGGCTCGTTCGTGCTTATCAACGTGCAGCTTGAGAACGTCACCACAGCCGTCGGACTTGCGGATAAGACTGTTCTCCTTGAGGGTGGAACGACCACGATCGATACCTGGGTTCAAGGGGACGTCTTCTCAGTCTACACCGACTCGCTAGGCGCAGGGTCGCACAATGGTGCTCTCACATTCTCAGGTTCCAGCGCAGAGTTCGCCGGAGGCTCTTATACTACGCCAATTCGCAAGCCAAAGTCACTTCTCGATGAGGAAGGCCGCATGTTCGGCAAGACTCGTCCCACGTACGCAGACTATTCCGTGGATCAGTTTGTGAGCGTCAAAGACGAAGGCGCGGTAGGCGATGGAGAGACGGACGACACCGCTGCCCTGCAAGCTGTCTTCGATAAGGTAATCCGGTTCCCTCATCGCAGCGAGCACGTTGCTGATATAACTGTGTTTCTAGTACGCCGGCTGCAAGATCATCTACTTCGACGCCGGTATCTACATCGTCTCTTCACTCTTGAAGATTCCGGCTGGCGTTCACGTCGTGGGAGAGGCCTGGACCCAAGTCATGGTTAGCGGGGAGCTGTTCGCTGACATCGATCGGCCCACCGTCGCGGTACAGGTTGGAGAGAAAGGCTCGAAAGGTTTCGCCGAGTTCAGCTCTTTCATCTTCACGTCGCGCGCACCTGCTGGCGGTGCCATCATCATGGAGTGGAATGTCCACGATCCCGAAGATCAGCAAGGCGCTGCGGGAATGTGGGATGTCATCTTCCGGCTGGGTGGCGCCGAGGGCACGAATCTGCAACTTGAAGGATGCGGTAACTCGCTTCCCGCGAACGAGACTATGGACTGTCAAGCCGCGTTCCTTAGCATGCATATAACTCCAGAAGCGAGTGCATACCTCGAGGGCACCTGGGTAAGTATGAAAGGGCTACCATCTTTGCCATCGCTGACCGCGCCGTCAGTTCTGGTTGGCTGATCACGATCTGGATGCGAATGCGAGCGCAACAGACGTCACGCTTTTCAGCGGGCGAGGAATCCTGAGCGAGTCGCGCGGACCCGTTTGGATGGTCGGTACTGGTGAGTAAACTCGCGCCATCCTCTTTCGCAACGCTATTTACCTAGCTACGCAGCTTCGGAGCACCACGTCCTCTACATGTACAACTTCGTCAACGCTGCCGACCACTACGTTGCCGTGGCTCAAACCGAGTCCGCGTACTTTCAACCGTTCCCCGCGGCACCGGAACCTTTCTCGCTATCCAAAAAGTACCATGATCCTCCACTCTCCAGCGACGGGATGGGTTGGGCGATGAACTTTGCGAACTCGAGCGACATCCTCATGCTGAACGGCGCACTTTATGTGTGGTTCAGTAACTATAGTCAGTCTTGTCAACCGACGCTCGAGTGTCAAAAGCAGCTCGTCAACGTCGACTCTCACTCGACGGTCACTCTTGCAAACGTCAATACCGTGGGTACGGCCGGCACATTCAGCGTCGGCAACTCGGTAGCCATTTGGGCCTCGTCCATCGCGAACAAGTTCACGAACGTACGTGGCTGATCATATCCGATCCTCTGACCTTGACTCTGATCCCATGCCGTAGACCGCGAGTCTCATCAACGTGCGCCCAGTGCAGGGCAAGGGTGGCGAGCCTTGGGCTAGCAAGATATTCCAGCAGCTGATGTCGGCCAACTGGGGTCCGCTTGGGGACCTGAACCCTACTTCACTCAGCGCAACCGTGTTCTTCTCCGAAACCTGATCCAGGACTTTCCTATGTACTGTCTCATCTTGTCTTAGTCGCTCTTTACCCCAAACCCTCTCCAGAGTACACAATCGTCCCACCCATCTATACTATAATCGATGCATATCTCGTCATCTCACTATACTGTTTGTCACTACCATCGGCCACCTTCACGCGCTTCCAAATGTCTGGGTTTGTAGGGCCCGATAGAAACTTTCAATATACAGTGATCATAATCGCGTTCGCGTCGATTGATGCAGGTCGAGTCCGAACATGGGTCACTCGACAGCCTACCTTCCTCATCGTCAAGATGCGCATGCATGCGTGCACTCGATGAGCTTGCGTGGCCCGACGCGACGACGTTGCCAGCTGATATAGCTTCACTCGGGTGAGTAACGGGATCGAAAATATCTTCAGATCTGCACATCTTCGGCACTGTCCAAGCAACGCAGCTTGAGGACGACATCGCACCCTGTCGAACTGATGAGAATCGGGAAGCAGTGTAGAGGTATGTAGGACTCACCCCATCCGTCCAACGAGAAGAGTTCGAAGGAACCGCCGAAGTACCTAGTATATAGGCGGCTCATCGGCAACCCAAAGCCCAAGCCAGCAATCGTTCCCAGTCCGGTCTGTACGCCCTTCCCGGCAATCTCGCTAAACAAGTCTCCGCCAACCGAAGCTGCGCCGCCGCCGACATGTTGGCCAGCGTAGGGCCCTTCAAGGTCTTCCTCTCCGAGTGACCCGTCGGACGCTCGGCCGGCTGTGGTGAAGGCGTATGAGAAAATGTGAGGCATATGGGAGGGTGCGACGCCCCCTCCCTGGTCACGTATGCGTATGTGAAGCATTCGGGGAGGGCGCTTCGCCGTAGGTGGTGTGAGCGGCATCTCCGGAGGAAGAGAGATCGTGATGTGGACAGGAGGCACGGAATGTGCGGAAGAATCGCCATGCTGTTTCAGGTGCTTCTCGACGGTCGCACGGAACGCGTTCTTCAGCACCTCAGTCAAGATGTACTCCATATGCACCGGAACATATCTGTTGCGGTGTAAGCATGTTTCGATTACGATATAAAGGAAACAGCACTCACGCAAACCTCGCGTCTGTGTGACCGTCGACCACGACCTTCGGGCTCCCGCCTAACGAACCTTCACATAGCTCGCCCACGAAAGAGGCACACATGTTGATCATCTTGACGGGGGACAGTTCAGTATCAACGATACCGACATGTGTCGAAGACGACGGCGGGCTGTCCAACGCGTGTGTGAGAGCGACGTGCTGCTCTGCAATCAGACGTACGGCGATACGGTTTCGGATAGCAGCGTCGACATAATCGGAGATGGCTGTAGCAGACATGTAATCATGCTGCACGCACTCTTGGAATCTGAATGCTGTTAGATTCGCTACATCCGTCCAACCAGAGTGCAGCCTACCCTTTGGCTATCAGAGGGATATCATCCGCATGTGAAGATATCAGGTCCTCAAGCTTTCCTGCGAAGACCGCGTTGTCGCGCAAGTTTTGCACGGGAGGATGGGTAGCAATGAGCATGAAGCTATCTCTGAACCCCTCGAGGATACGGGCGATGTGCGGGTTGGTTCCGACGATGAACGGCAGACTTTCAAGAGCCTGAATACGAGTTGCTAGCCGGCGAGGTATCTCAGCCTGAGCAAGCTGCACACAAGACAACAACGATTCATGGGTGAGAGGTCGGGAGAATGAGACCAATTTCCCCAAAGTCAACGGTTGTGGCGGATGTTGTGCGTAGGTCGCAAGCAGCTGGGCGACCTCCGGAGGCGTTGGCCCGGGTGTCCGGACGGTGATTGTACGCGTACCACGCAAGAAGTTATAGCATCTTTGCCGGCGAGCAAACCGGAGCATGAGTCTGAGTCTCAGAGTCGAAGTCAGAGAGGTGCTATACAATCTCTAGATGAACTGCCGTGTGCGTTGATGGAAGCTAGAGACGAAGAGGTGGACGTGACGAGTCACACGGTAGGTGCGCGTTTGATCGCCGCGCCAATCCGCCTTCTTGCTCCCTACCAGCACGGAAGGTACAGAATCGTGCTCTTTGCTCTCGCTTTGAGTCCAGAAACAATTCATGCACTTGCTTCCAGACCGCGTCCCCGGATTGCATCTCCCTTTCCACATTTCGGCTCCGTCATTCCGTGGTTGCCGCCACCTCGATTCGCACACGAAGAAGCCTACATGGGTACGAATGGCGCGGCTGACAAGACCCTCGTACCTTGATCTGGCGAGAGATCCTTCTGCAACATGACAGAACGGTACCGACCCGCCCACCTTCCATCCGCCGTTGTCATGCAACTTTCCTCAGCGGATTCAGGTCCCAGCGCCAGAAGAGGAGGCTAAGCCCACGTCTGGCACGAAGAGCATACACTTCCGTTTCGACCGAGCTCTTATTTGGGAGGTGATCGCGACAGTTCGCGGGAGGCAGCATCTCACAGAAGAAGTACGTAGTAAGTTCATTTCCGCTTTTGCAGGCCTTCCGAAGTCGCCGTGGGTAGTGGCGCCGAGCAGATCATTGCGCCTGTCTGAATTCGCGTCGTTATACAGTCTGCCGTGTCAAAGGCCCAGAGTTGCTAATTCGTGTTTGTACTGTGTATGTTCTCTACGGTCCCGCCGCGTCACTTGTCAGACCGTTCAATGGTAAGAGACGGCGACTTCTTTGCGTCATGCCGTTCCATCTGCGTGCCGCGTAGGCGAACGCTAATCGAGGTGAACGCGAGGTCACGCAATGCACTCCAAATTGCTAACACAAGTCATAGGAGAGCGTGGGTGGAAATGGCTAAACGATTTTACTCTACGCACACATGTATCAGCCACGCGCACGGCAGGAATCAATGAGCTTCCTGCGTGGTCTCAACGACCTATCGTCGCTGGCCGCAGGGTTGCCAACATTACTAGACCGTACTCCCGATCTGGTAGCGCTTGAAGAGACGCTACTAGCATACCGATAGTATGCAACCTATAAAGACCGATGTAGGAAACCGGAATGCCCAACATGTCAGGGCCAGAAGTTGATGGGCTGACTTAGACGCGCACTCCGGAAACCTCGCGCAAGGTGAAGCGCGCAGACTAGGGTGCGCGCCAGCACCATACCCGCACTGATGTGACATAGCTGGGTTGCTACACCGATGTCAGACGATGCTGCGTTACGAGTGCGTCAGGGGCTTCCTCGTCTCTCTAATCGCCATACTCTCACTGTGAACCCACGAGATGATGGTACGGGTACAATGAGGATCATGATCATGATTCACCTACTAGAAGCCCGTACAACGTTCCCAGCTGGGAGAATATGTGCTCTTCTATGTTTACCCTTTCGCTCTCGCACAAGGCCAAAGCGGCATTCTAAGCAGGTACCTGACTGGATAATCTCCGAGTCGTACCCATGCTATGCTGCATCTAGCAGCCAAACGGATCGCCATCGATTCGCAAGCTGTGGGGCATCTGCGACGCCGCATGCACTTCGTGGCAATAGGCCTTACATCGAACAAAGTGTTCCATTTGTGCAGGCGTTCTGCAGGCCTCCAGAGCGACCCTACTCGTTCACTATGAACACACCTGGCGGCGGGCATGTACGCATCTCCGGCTTTGCGTTCTCGGCGTCCTAGTAGCAGCATGTCTGTGGAGCAAACAAGAGTTCCGGCTTGCGAAACTCGAGGCGGACCTGCGGATCCGAGCGCAGTGGAATGGCGGGAGGAACGTTCGTATATGCGCGTATATGCACCGAGGAGTTCGAGGCTTTGCCCGGCTTTCCAGCCGCGCTGCACGTCATGGGCAAAGGCTATCGTCCTGACGTCGATTGGTGCACCATCCAGACGACGGGAATCTCAATCCGTACACACACGAGATCAACCGCTGATGTGGTCGTCCGCTCAACGAAGGGATTGAAGAGGGTCAGATATCCGCTCTTGCTCTGAGATCCAATCTCGTTGCGGGTCCAAAATCGTCTACTAACTGCATACGGGCCGTTTCGTCCGCTCTGTGACCTTAAGAAGTCTAACATGCCGGCCCGAACCGGCATACTATCTCTTCAAAACGGCGAGCACCTTGCGCCGTACTCGCTCTAAGGCCAAACAGATGGCCTGGCCAGGATAACTCCCCGACCTCGACCTCGTGTGCGGCGGCCAACATGCAGCACGCCGGTCAGGTCGCGTTGCATCTCTCGGAAGGGGATAAGTGCGCGCAGTTTATTTCTCCCGGAGATCAAATCCCTATCGATTGGCCGGTAAATAAGGCGCCGCGCGGTCGGAAAGCCGCTGGCTGCGGCACGTCGGCAATGCCGCACTTGCCTGCACTCGCACGACACTGCTTCAGACTGCTTCCCTCCCGCTTCCATCTCACCGCGAGTGATCTGTGTTATTTCGTGCATGGATATGCTACTTCGCTCATCCTGGGCGGGAAAGACATGTGCCAGAGGAAGAGATGCGGAATACTTTCGTGGAAAGGCAGTGTGGAACGTTGGCAGGGGCCCGGAAAGTCTGATTGATCCCGGTGACTCAACCGGTAACTAAAAGTTAGAAAGGGGCGGCCCGGCGATGAGAGTAGAGCGCGGGTCATTTAGCGTAGAGCAGACCCGTGAGACGCGGTCGGGTATATATGTAAAAGGCGAGCCCGTCGGCGTCTTGCCTGATTGCCCCCCTCCCCGCCATCATTGCCCTCCACCATGGAAGTCGACTCTGCCTCCCCGCAGGACTCGGCTCTCGATGACAAGTGCGTTCATGCCTGCCGAAGATCCTCGCCATGTATACTAATACTCAAACTAGGAAAACCCCGGTCATCAGAGGGGCCCGAGCCTGCACCGTCTGCCGCACTGCCAAGGTCAGCCGCTGCGCGCGCCCGTCCCACCTGTTGGCCGGCGCTTAATCTTGCCTTTTATATTTAGATGAAGTGTGTTGGCGCGGACGAGAGTGGGAAACCTTGCGACCGTTGCAGGAGGCAGAACCTCGAGTACGTTTCGATACCCGTTGTATATCCTTGTTACGCTTTACCGATCATCAATAAAGCTGTATATTCGAAAAGCATCGCCGCGGCCGTAAGCCGGGTTCAAAGTGAGTCCCCACCCAAATATTTTTGTCCGCGTGTACAAAGGTATGAACATTGCCTTGTCAGGCTCTCTGAAGCCTCCAAGATGCTCCGCCGCCTCGAGAAAGGTCTCAGTTCCGCCAAAGCGAAGGGTGCCGCGCTGCATGATCAGACTGATACGCAGAGCGCCGACGGCTCTGCATCTGGTCGCAGCCCTTACTCTTCGGGTCCCTTTCCCAACAATGATCTCCCTCCACTCAAGTTGCCTGCGAACTACGGCGACAACGCGCACGACCCACACTACAATGGGGGATCAGACGACGAGGACGAGGAGAACCCATCGGCTGCGCCCGCGAAACTCATCAGCAAAGAGAATCAACGCCAGCCATTCCTCAAGACTATCCTCAACCCTGAGCAGGAGTCTCCAGCGGCGAGCTACCGTGCACCTGCGACCCCGGCGAACTCGCGTATGAGCGCTTTTAGCTGGACAACACCCCCTCCTGCTCCCGAACAGCCTGCCATCCGCGACCCTGTTAGCGCTGGCATCATTGATGAAGCTTACGCGAAGGTCTTGTTTGATCTCGTCTTCCTGCGACTGAATCCATTCATCTGTCTCTTTGACCCCGCCCTACACTCGGTCACCTACGTTCGGTCGCGCTCGCCATTCTTGTTCACGGTCATCCTTATGGCCGGCTGCAAGTTCTTCAAGCCAGAGGCGTTTCGTCAATGCCAGAAGATGGCGAACGAATTGGCAACGCGCGCTTTCGCTGAGAATTGGAAGTCCGTCGAAGTTGTACAAGCCTTCGCGTGCCTTTGCTATTGGAAGGAGCCTGAGGATACGGTAATGTTCTTTCCCTGTTTGGTCTAGTGTCGTGCCACTGACAGACCCATCTTTCTCAGCGCACCTGGACGTACATTGGATACGTAAGTACCCTATTTCAATACATGCGTCGCTAGTGATGAACACTTCACGTCAGGCTTGTCGAATGGCTATCGAGCTCGGACTCAATCGCTATCATGCGAACCCCCCTCCCGGCGAGAACGAGTATCAGTTGCGCGAGCGTCGCAACCGCGAGCGCACGTATCTCGTCCTCTTCGTACACGACCGCTCTCTCGCTACGCAAACGGGCCGAGCATGGATGCTTCCCGAAGTGCGTTTGATAGCGTCAACTCTATATGTTTCACGAGACTCACACGATTTCTTCTAGGACGAAATAGTTCGCAACGCGCACCACTGGCACGAGCATGGCGGAGGCGACATCCGGCCCGAGGACGTCATTGTGTCCGCGTTTGTGCAGCTGCGCTGCATTACGGTGAGTAGCTTCGCCCCGACATCAGAACCGGACTGGCGTTGACCGCTTCGTGTGTAGGCTGAAACAACGGAGGTTTTCCACATGCACAACAACTCAAGCGAGCACGGCGATCTCGACCGCGCAGTGCTCCTGCGGAATTGCAACGGCAAACTCACGCAATGGATGGGCGTCTGGGAGACCGAGATGCAGCGCGCCAACGGCGAGCGCTTTCACATGGAATTCCTCAAGTTCTTCAGGCTATACGTGCGCTTATTCTTGAACTCCTTCGGGATTCAAGGTTCGCTTGCCAACGTACGTTCCGTGACTGAATGCAGTCCATGCCTCGGCGACTGATTTCGGTACAGCAAACCCGCGCCGCTCCGAGCGTGCAAGCGCTCTCGATGTGCTACACGTCTGCCATCGAGAATCTGCAGATCGTGTATCAGGAATTCGCGAAGATGAACATGCTGGTGAGTCCGGTGCTCCGCCGGTCTTTGTCAGGTCTACAGCTACCGATTTTGTTTCTGACTCCGAGACACAGCGGTATTGTCAAGACTCGATCACAGTGATGACTGCCTATTGCGCCGTATTCTTGCTTCGCGTTAGTCTTTCGGCACCCTCTTCGCCTTACCGCTTACTGAGACAATCATGTGTAGCTTTTGCGCAGCTCTACTATGCTCGCAGGCCTGCACGAGAATGCGGCGGACGAGATTCACAAGATCATCAGCCTTACAGCAGATGCATACGAGGAAGCAGCTGCCTTCTCGTCAGCCTGCACAGGTGCTGCTTATCATGCTCGCTTCCTGCGCGGATTGGTCGCCCAGGACATCTTCAAGGCGCGGCAATCCAATGGCCAAGCGCTCCCCGGTTCTCGATCGTCGCCCCCTGGTGGCCTGCCCTCGCCTTCTCCTTCGAACAACTCGGGTCCATCGTACTTGGCACGCCCAACTCAGATGGTTCCATCGCAGAACGGGCAGGTCGCTACCCACACGCCGGTACAGCAGCCCCAGGCACCGCAGCCACAGCACATGGGCATGGTTCCAACGCCGATCTCGAGCTACGGGCCCATGACCTATGCGCTTCCTCAGGACGGCAATGCGCTCGCTCAGTCTCATCCGCACTCTTACGGTGTCCCTCAGAGCTCTGCCGCGGATGCTCAACAACAGCAGTACGCGCCACCAACACCTGCTGGGGCTGATCTCCGCTACTGGGACCAGATGTTCCGCGACATCGGATGTGGAGCGACAGGGTATGAGCAGCAGCAGCAGCAACCTGATGCGTATGGTGCAGGGTATGGCGCACCGATGCCCATGGCAGCGTACCCTCACCAATACGTTCAGGGCGAGGCGGTTGCTTACCAGACCGGTTGAGCTTCGCCAGGATTCCCCCTTTCAGCTTGTCACTTGTTATCTCGCCGTGCTGTTCTGTCTGCGTTTGTGATCGCGTCGCTTCCTCAGAGATCGTCCGTTTCTTGGTTGATCTTGCTCTTCGTTTCTCGTTGCCTGACTTTCACCTGCACTTCTCTCGATCATCCTCTGACATTTGTTGTACAGTATCTTTATACCGATTTTATCTTCATCGCTCTCCGTTTCCATATCATGATCGAGCACCGTTTTCCCCTGTATTGGCTACTCGCGCCACCGCCTGCATACAGTACTGTCACTAAGAGATAAACTTCGTCTACCCGAAAAATCCCTCGCAATATGCCTCTTTCCGGACATATCGTACTCGCGTGCCAGGCCGAATGCGCTCGTTTATAGACTCGTCATGATCTTCCCATTGAAAAGAATTGCATCGTGTCAGATTGCTGAGACATGGCGCGGGTAGAGTACTAGCGAACGTCAGGAGAACTCGGGAGTGCCACAAGCGCTGGTCGCGTTGCACGATGAGGCCTTCTCGACGCATTGACCAACGTGCGTTCACTCATTCGTGAAACGGAGATCGCACAGCTCTGACATGCACGGTCATTCGCAAGGCCGTTTCCTAGAGATGGCTGGTCTATCTGGCGCCTTCCCTACCCACGACGCCACTTGACCGCCTTGCGAAGATCCCGTCTCGATTCAGCCTCAAGTCTCCCGCGCCGCACACAGATAGAAGTACAGCTGTGATGATACCGAGTGGCCGGTGGCCGGGCGACTGCGCGAGATAGGCAGTAGAGGTTGAGCGCCCAGCGGGCTGCCATCCGGCGAAGCTGTTCGCAGATCACGGTAACCCTGCACTATGGGCGTTGTACCGGTCGGGAAAATACGCCGCGCTGAGATCGACTCTTCACTCGCCGGGATGATCATCATGCTCACCGGAATGATACACCCTGTCAGGCACTCTGACAGAAGTTTGAACATGTGTATAGGCTTTGCCGCATCCGCGTCGTGGCGGAACTGAGCTGAGGTGGGCCGGATGGTGGCTTCAGTTAGTGAGGGCACACCCGCGGCCAAAGCGTGTACTAAGATCACCGGGATCGGGAACGTGTACGCGGTTCATCCGGATACACCCCAACCTGTATCGGAATATGGCTCGTGACGATGATGAGTTCCCACCAATGACGAAGCTACAGCGTGGCGTATACGGGTTGTAGCGATCCCGTACAATATGCGGGCTCCAACCTTTGATACAACCTTGAACTAGCTGGAGTTCACGGCGGCGGAGAAGCGTCACACCATCGTCCATGTCAAATGTGCATGAAGCGGGAGCAGTCAATTAACCGGCCATTATATATGAGATTTTACTCACGCCACAGAACAATGTCAAATTTGATGTACCTCTCACTTCGGCCTCGGCGTCTGGGCGCTTAGCGCTGACTCCACAGCGCAGCTAGGCTGGAGACCCTCGGGCAGGGGAAAGCGTAGTTCTAACGCAGGTAGGGTCTTTTTCGCTTCCTGTGCTCGAATTTCAAACGTGAACAAACGTGAACAGGGGAAGAAGCAGCTTCGAGCAGATGCGGATCGCGCAAGTGGGTACTTCAACTGTTCGAGTTAATCATTTCATGGATCGCGGGCGGGCCGTCTCTAGTATCCAATTACAGCGCGAGTTCTATCAATGTGAACGAATGAGCTTTGAACGTATGAGAAGATGTCCAGTCCTTCTCGGATGTCTTGATGGAGACGTTATCCGGGTTATCCCACTCGTTGCGTGCCCATGCATCGGCATGCCAGACTTCGTGCACGGTGCACTTTCCCTTCGGCGTCTCAAACGCGATGCGTAAAGGTACGGTCAAGTCCGCGTCCGCGTCGCGATTTACGACGGCGATACGCAACTTGCGCACGCCGTTCTTCTCGACGAGTACCGCGCTCGCATCAAGCACGTCCGCGGCACCGCGGACTCGGCCAGCCCATTCTGGCAGCGTTACGCCGGAGTACGTCGGTCCAGGAGCAGACCCTCCGAAAGCGACGCGAACGGCTGTACCACGCATATATTGCGAGTACAGGCGAAGAACGTGGTACGTCGGGTGACGGAGTACGCCCGTGGGTCGCGTGTTGAGAGGCGCAATGACGTTTACGGCTTGTGCGAGGCATGCGAGGCCGATGGAGGCGGATTGACGGACAAAGACGTTCAGCCACGCGCCGAACGCGAGCGCGTCCTTGAGATCGTATGGCTGCTGGAGACCATTCTCAGGTGTACCTATAAAGGTATAGGGTCAGCGATCGTATTTTCTTAGACAAACGGACGTAAAGCATACCAACAAGCTCATCCCAGACGCCCCATTCGTCGAATGCGAGTCGTACGCGGGGTACAATGTTCTCTCCGGGTACAATGGATGGCGCGGCGTCGACCTTCGCGGTATGTTCGACAGTCGCCTTTTCGATAAGACCTCGCGCAATCTCAATACCATGCTCGGCGGCGGTGGGTCCGTATACAGCGCGGTTGTATTCCTCAGTCTTGTCCGAACGGTTGCGGGGGCCGAAGGACGTGTAGAGATGGATGCTGCATCCTGCATCAGTACACGGGCTTTTCCATGTAGATGCGTTGGATTACCTGTGTAACTGAACCTTGTCGATGTTGCGCCCTAGGACGACGTTATCCCATTCGTCAAGGCCAGTTTGACCGCATGACACAAGGATAAGCGAAGGGTCTACGAGCTTCAGCGCATGCGCCCATTGGCGACAGGCAGCAGCATACTCCTCTGCCGTCTGTTGGCGAACCTGCGAAGCATCAGGATTCAGATAACAAGCAGTGTCAGCAGCAATGGACAGCTCATACAATCCACGGTCCCCAACATTCGTTTCCCTGCACTCAAGTCAGCTTCTGCATTAAGGCGTGAGACAGCTTCTCTCACAATTCCCCAGTACCTGAATGAAGAATCAGCGGGCGATCGGTAGCAAGGAAGAAGCAGACTCACTTGACGTTGTGAGGTTCATCATGACCGGTGTTCTTGCGGCGTAAGTTGGCATAGTAGCTGCAAGTCCATCATGAGAACGCGAAGCAAAGACGCGTCTGTTCACGCACGTATCGCCGGTACCATTGCAGTACTCCACCCAATTCAGGGCCTCCTCCAGAGTACCGGTACCCATGTTGAAGCAGAGATAGGGTTCAGTCTTCGCCACACGGCACCATTGAATGAATCTATGTGGTCATAAGGGTCAAGCCTTGCGGAAGCTCGAAGATCGCGTACGCACTCATCGGTTCCAAAGGAGTTCGGCTCTTCCCCACCCCAAGCCAAGTCTGGCCGCTTACGCCTGGTCTCTTGCGGCCCAACACCATCTTCCCAATGATAAGTGGCGACATAGTTCCCACCCGGCCAGCGCATCATAGGCACGTTCAGCTCATCGCGAATGCACTCAATCACGTCCGCGCGAAAGCCCTCAGGCGTAAGCAAGTTCTTGGGCGTCTCAACGAAGTGTTCAGGCGGGCATGGTTTACGCGCCGTATGGGGCCAGTCAGTAGGACGCGCGGGAAGGATGCCGCCGTAGATGCAGCGCCCGAGATGCTCGATGAAGCCCGAATAGATCAGCGGAGAAACCTCTGCAATCGGGGCTGAGGGGAAGACGTCGAGCGTGAACTTCTCGGTGGTGGCGGCGGGCGCTTCAGACATGGCTGTCGACGATAGAGTACTACAATCTTCTGTCGCGGTCGCCATAGATGTAGGGCGTAGAAAACGTGGTTTGACCCGAGGGTCACGATACAGCAGCGTCGCGTACGGTCCGCTTCACCGAGACAGCGCGGGCCGGAGAAACTAGGGCACTCAGGAACCCTACATACAGCTTCCGGCTGCTCTGTTCATCGTGATAGCCGTCGTACAAGAACATGAGGATGCTTGGCAGAGGGTTTCTGAATATGCAGATACGGACATGAGGGTCAAGTACAGGTTGTGACGCCAACAGTGATGGCTGCTTAGTCATCTCACGTGGCGCGTCCCACAGAGTTGGCCGGCGCGTCAACACCGAGACGCGTCTACTCTGCTTGTGACGACGACCATGGTCCGTATCATCATCAAGGGTGGTGTATGGAAGGTGCGTCGGCTCTTTGTACTTACATGTATGCAACTGACGTATACAAATAGAACACGGAGGATGAGGTTCTGAAGGCGGCTATTGCCAAGTATGGCAAGAACCAGTGGTACGTCCCCGTTCTTTCCGGAAATTGAGCATGTACTCAAACAAGGAATATAGGGCCCGCATTTCCTCATTGCTTGTGCGCAAGACGCCTAAGCAGTGTAAAGCTCGCTGGTACGAGTGGCTCGACCCGTCCATCAAGAAGACAGAATGGTCCAAGGTGCGTCTCCTTTATGGCAATCTTATTCTTTCAGTCCTCTAATATTGCCTGTAGGAGGAAGACGAAAAGCTTTTGCATCTTGCAAAGCTCATGCCGACGCAGTGGCGCACTATTGCACCCATAGTCGGGCGTACGGCCACGCAATGTCTCGAACGATACCAAAAGCTGCTTGATGAGGCTGAACAGAAGGAAAACGAGGAACTTGGTTTGGCTGGACCTGGTGGCGAGGGTATGGCAAGCGAGGATGTGCGCAAGTTACGCCCGGGAGAGATTGACCCGGACCCGGAGACGAAGCCTGCACGGCCAGATCCCATTGACATGGACGAGGATGGTGCGCATGAAACTGCACTTGGACAAAACTTTAATTACTGACTACATGTCTAGAGAAGGAAATGTTGTCCGAGGCTCGTGCTCGTTTGGCGAATACGCAGGGAAAGAAGGCGAAGCGCAAGGCCCGCGAACGCCAACTCGAGGAAGCTCGCCGGCTCGCTGTACTCCAGAAGAAGCGTGAGCTCAAAGCGGCGGGTATCATCATGCGTTCCAAGACCAAAACGAAGGGTATGGATGTGCGTATATTCTATTGATTGCCTTTGAGTGCCGTTTCTGACAGGGACTGCAGTACAACGCAGACATTCCCTTCGAGAAGAAGCCGGCAGCCGGTTTCTACGACACTTCCGAAGAGCAAGCTCGCATCGCCGCCGCACCTGTCGGCCAAACTCTTCGTCGGCTGGAGAATAAGCGCAAACCTGACCAGGAGGAAGAAGAGCGCAAGAAACGTCAAAAGCGCGAGGGACCGCAGAACACGAAGTTCGTGCCTGCGCGTGAGGCGCAGATTGCGAAGCTTAAGGAAGCGGAGAGCATTGGGCGCCGGAGCAAGTTGATGCTTCCGCCCGCTCAGGTCGGCGAGAACGAGTTGGAGGAGATTGTGAAGATTGGAAAGGCGGGCGAGGCAGCGAAGGGACTAGTCGGGGATGCGAATGATCCTACTGGGCAGCTTCTGAGCGAGTATGATTCGCTTGAGCGAGCCAAGATGGCGAGGACACCGCGGACCGCACCTCAGCGTATGTTCAGTCTCCATATCACTGATATACGCCCCTAACATTCATCGCAGAGGATAATATCATGCTTGAGGCACGAAACCTGCGCAATATGACCGCACAGCAGACGCCTCTCCTAGGAGATGAGAACACGCCAATGCACACTGCAGTGGAGGGCGGTACAGGTTTCGAATCGGCCACTCCCCGTCATCAGGTCGCATTCACCCCGAATCCGCTGGCCACCCCTCGTAACGGCATTCCCAACGGCAGCGTGGCTGGCACACCCCTTCGTACACCCATGCGTGATAACCTGGACATCAACCCGCACGACGGCAACTTCCCAGGCGACACTCCGCGCGATGTTCGTATGCGCCAAAGCACCGCCAAACGCACGCTGAAGGCGAGCTTCATGAGCCTACCGCGTCCGGAGAATAACTTCGAGTTGCTTGTACCGGAGGATGAAGAAGCAGAGGAGGACGAAGGTGCACCGCTAAGCGTTGAAGATGCCGCCGAGAGAGATGCCCGACTCGCTCGTCTGCGTGCGGAGGCAGAGGCTCGCGAACTCGCACGGCGCTCACAGCCTGTCCAACGTAGTCTGCCACGACCGCCGAATGTGGACCTTACGGCGCTTCTCAATGAGCTGCAGCTCATCCCTGTGGACGAGACAGCGGATGAGCAGGCACAGCGCTTAATCGACGCCGAGGTTGCACGGCTCATGTTACATGACTCGCTCGCGCATCCTGTGCCCGGCACGATGAACCCCGGCAGCACACCCTCGGACTACGCCCCGCCTCCAGACGATGACGTCGCAGCAGCCAAAGCGGAAGTTGCCCGTGAGCTCGGGACACTTGTGGGCTTCCCCGACGCTCCGGAGTCGCAGATCCGGGACGGTATCATCGCGATTGCTGGGAACGAGGAGATCGATGACAGCAAGAGCTGGGCACACATACGCCCCACACTTGCGTTCGACGCTGAGGAGCGCATATGGAAAGATCCCGCTAGTCTGTCGGTCGAGGCGAGGATTGCTGGGTGGAGTGTGCAGCTCGAAGAGGCGCGTGCCGCGATGACACGTGAGGGTGCGCGCGCTGGCAAGGTCGAGAAGAAGCTCGGTGTCGTACTCGGTGGTTACCTCAACCGGTCCAAAGACCTCAGCGTCAAGCTAGGCACTTCCTACAACGCCTTCGTGGACGAGTCTATCGACAAATCCAGCTTCTTGCGCCTCAAGGCTCGCGAAGACGCTGCCGGTCCTGCACGTGTCGCCGCGCTGCGTGAGGACGCTGAGAGGCTTCAGCAGAAGGAGAAGTCGTTGCAGTCGTTGTACGCTGAGCTCGAGCGCGAGAAGAATGAAGCCGAGCAGAGGGTCGCTATCCTTGAGGAGCGGCTCATGATGGAGGCGGAGGCGCTGAACGAGGCTGCTATGCAGCAGGAGTCGTCGTAGACACCTGCTTCTATTTGCTCTACTGCGTTGCTTACTATTATACATACATAACTCGATACTGTACATTCCATGCGTACAAAGATGCCGCGATGCGTTACTACGTGTACAAAGAAATGGTGAATCCGAGCTCGGCCTTGCCCAATACGCGAGTCGTGGCCTTGCCGCCTTTCGGTATGGTGTGTATCGCGCCATCTGCACAGACGTAGTGCGCGCGGTCGTCATCCTCATCCTGCGATGACATTCAGATCGGCGAAAAGGAAGAAGCGTGGTGGGAGCTCCTGACCGGTATCCATTCCCAACCTCCAGCACGGAAGTACTCAACGACAGGCTGACCCGTCCCAGTACTGACAATACTCCCATCCTCAGCGTACGTGCTCCGAACATGCGCGCCATCCTGGTACGCGCCGCCCATCGTCGCCCAAACCTTATCCTTGAACTTCTCCCGCTCAGCATCGCTACTGTCTTTTACACTGGGATCGCGAGATGGCCGAACGACAACGATATCAGCCGTTGCGGGAGGAACGGGCGGATGCGCGCGCTGAAGCGGCGTGATGCGGAATGCAGGCTCGAGTCGATCGACGTTGACGGTGCTGAGCATGTAGGCGAATGGGCCGGATAGCTCGAGCGCGGCTGTCGGACCTTCGTCTCCGCTAGTAGCTGCGGGTGACGGAGCGGCGACGAACTGATCGAGCGGAGGGTCGTATTGCAAGACGGGGGCAGGAGCGCCGGATGGTGGATCAGAGGTCGCTGGAGCAGGCAGAAGCCGCAGACGCGCGTTGTACCACCGCGTCGCATTCTGGGCAGCTGCAAGCTTGAAGCGCTCTATCGAGGGCACCGTTGCACGTAACGCCTCTGCATCGAGTAGAATCGAGGCGTGTAACGAGGTCGAGGCGACGACTGCAGAGAGAACGGATGTCTGTTCGCCGGCGGGAGATAGCGGAGATGCGGAGATAGTGGTATACGCGAGCGCCAACGGCGTTAAACGTTGATCAGAGTCGAGGAGGGCGTATACAGAGGATAGTGTCGTCTCCGATCCTGGTACAGGCGGGAAGAAGGATGAGTGTAGCGCGTTGGCCGTTCCACCAGGGATCAAAGCGAGCTTGAGATTCAGCGGCGATGGCCATGAGCGGTCGTGCAGCGCGTTGACAATCTCATGCAGAGTTCCATCTCCGGAGACAAGTACAATGTTTAGATCAGAGTTAGCCGGGCTCGCAGAGGCGAAGTCTGCTACGATAGTCCCAGCATGGCCGACGTGCTCCGTACCGATCACTTTATCGGGCTCGACACCGCGCGTTTTCAGTAACGGTAGCACTTGTCCGTCGACGATCTCACGTCCTGAGGAGTTACCAGAGACAGGATTGTACACCACTAGCAGTGTCATGGTGATGGCGGCGGCGAGGCACGCGACCAGTGAAAGCAATGTCGTTGGGGTGACCGCGTGATGGAGATGAACGTCGCGAGTCAAACTTGGTCAGTCCACCTGATAGTTGCAATACTTACGAACTTCGCGGCGGAGGTACGTACTTGGCCACAAATCACACGTGGATCTTTCAACAACGAATAGTATATTATGTTGTATGTATGTGTGGCCAACAACGCCAGGGGCCGACGCCCAACTACCAAAGAGAATAGGGCCCGACGAACGATGCAATACGGAACATGGGATGTACAAAATATGCGAATGACGAACATAGACAACAGAGAGGATCGACGGATGTGGAAGTACTGAACGACGATGCGAACGCCTGGGACTGGGAAGTGATATGATGCTGAGCAGCCTACGATACTAGTCAGCTAAGCTAGAGCATGAGAAGCGACACGCGGACGTACACGGCGCGGGTTCCGAGAGGGTGGACGAAAGCGGCGAATATAGCAAATAGGAGCGGGAATGACGTCACTAGAGGGCCGGCGTGGATGGCGGCGAGGGTGGTGTGGTCGACGTTGGAAGGGCAGCGGCATCCATGGTGGTCTTGAGCAGTGTCTCGGCGGCCCGAGCGAGCTCCTTGGACGTGCCCATGTCGATGGACGTTTGGTCGTGCAGGACCAGGAATTGGGACAGGAGGCCCTGCAGCTTCCTACGCTGGAGACGTTCGTTGTGAAAGACCTCGCAGGCGTTGTCGTGAGCGTCACGCTCCGTCTTGACGTTCTGGCGCTCCCTGGTCACCTCTCCGCGCTCCGTAGCCACCTGAGCGCGCTCATCGGCTGTCTCAGCGCGCGCCTTGGCTGTCTCCTCCTCCTCCCGCTGGAGCTTCGCCCGCAGTTGAACGTTTGTCGCTTCCGCGCCCTCGAGTATCACCTCTTGCGCGAGGAGTCGGCCTTCGTAGAGGTCTTCCTTGGCCTTCAAGTCGTGTTTGAGTGTATGAATCTTGTCGCACAAGTGGGCGAGGGCGGAAGCTGGCAAGAACATGATAAGCGCCGGAACTTGTATGAAAGAATAGGCAGGACGTACCCATGGTGAGTTTCTCTTCGACACCCTTGATCTCGCAATGGTCTAAGAGGTCGGCAACACCAGTGTGAAGATCACGACCGTCCTTGCCTCTCGCCACGCCGTTCGCCCTTGTTAAGATGTTGGTGAAGGCACCCCTTCACGGTGCCTTCACCAACATCTTAACAAGGGCGAACAGGGGCGAACGGCGTGGCGGGTCGTTGGGGTGATCAGGTTCGGCCGTGGAAGACGTCGCCTTGGAGCGTTTGGCGGACGTGGACGACGGTTCCGATGGCGCTGCGCGCTTCGTCGGAGCGGCGGACGAATTCTTCTTGGCCTCGGGCTTCGCGGTCGCAGGAGGTGGAGCGTCGGAAGAAGAGTCGACGTCTGCATGGGTGTTGAATGATAAGCGCTACCGTCCGTCAAAAGGGAAGGAGATCAACGCACTCGGGATATCATCGCCGGGCAAGGGCCCCGCAGAACGTAACGATGTGCGACGGTTCGAGTCTGAGAACAACATGGCGGCCGTATGGCAAAAAGTCGGAACTCTAGAAAATCGTGCAGCGTCGCAGTGCAGCGCTGCAGCCAAGATCGAACTGCAGCACTGCAGCCCGCACGTGCTGCAGCGGTCAGTTCGATACCCACTGCACTGCAGAGGGGTCGTGTGAAGTGCGACTTTGAGGCGTACCTTACCTCCTTTCCCCTCCTACTAGTCCGATAGATAGACCTATTCTAACGAAGATATATTGTTTTCCGAATTTCTGATACGAAAATCGCCGAAAAACGAGAAAGACTAGGTACTTGCAGAGAAAAACATATCGGGCCGAGTTTGATTTCAATTTATTCCCACGGTGGTTGTGTTGGCGACGCCCGCAAAGTGGCACGCCTCCTACGGAATCTCTCGCCCTTCGCTGCTATGAGCTACTGTAGCCAGAAAACAGCTCGAACGCGCCCGATAGCCTACTGAAAGGGAGGTACTACACCGACCAGAAATCGCAAAAGATAATCGAACCAGTTCGATGCCGGGTTCGATGCCGGTGTCCCACGGCGACTCGAGGCGCCCCGACGCGTTTCAGAAACGTGCCTTGCAGCGCTGCAGTGCAGCGCTGCATGCAGCACCGTTAATACTTCTAGAGTTCCTACGTTCCCCCGTATGGATAGTATCGGACGCGACGACGCAAAGAAAAAGAAAGTCGCGTCCGATACTATCCATACGGCCGCCATGTTGTTCTCAAAGGAGAGGACAGTCTGCGCACCCAGGAATAGGATGTGATTACGACGAGCCTGGGGGTACGCCGCGCTCCCGGCGCCCATGTATATACCGACGGTGGGATGCATAGACCTGTCATGCATGAGAGCACATGCCCGTAGGCTCGCATCCTACTGTCTGTCAACAAACTTCGAACGTCAACATAAAGTTTCGAAAGCTACGCCTCAAGGCCTCACGCGTCACGCGCGGATCTTGTCACCCTTGAACTTGTCTCCCACCACCATCGCACCGAACATCGACGTTACCTGCTCGTCGTTCTCAGGACCTGCGCGCCATCATGGATATATTCCAAGATGGCGCCTCCTACCGCTTCCGGATCGCAATCAAGTCTTGTGGTATGTATGCCACAGATTGGACTGCCAGGTCGATGCTCGCGGCCGCCATGATTGCTCGTCCCGACGCCGGACGTCGCCGCACCAGATCGTCGATCTTACGCCGACTGCTGCAGTTTCATGTCATTGTCTCATACTCAACGTTCGTCATGCCCGCAGGAATGAGTGGCGATCGAGTAGCGTCGCTCTCTGGATGTCTGCCGTCTACGGCTGCCTACCCGGATCAGCTGAGCATCGTGACGATCGCACGACTTGGATATGCTGTACAGCGCTTTGCATCGAGACGTGAAAGTTGCGCGTGATTACATGGCACTTGCTCTATCGACCGGTGACGATCAGTGACGCAGGGTTCGCATATCAAGCGCTCTTCCCGACTTCCATAGCGCAGGTGTCGGTCCTTAGTCGGCCCTGATGTCCCCAGCTTCTAGTTGATGAAATGACAAGAAACGAGATTGACATATATTTCACAAAAGCCGCGATCTATAACCTGTGAGGTTTGATGCATGAGCATTCCACCGCGAAGTTAAAGAGTGACCGCCGTGTCAGTTGGGCCTCGCGCGCTGGGGCCAAACGGCCCTGCTCTTCCGCGTTTTCAACGTACTTTCGGAGCGATCTACACATATCGTGTATTAAATGCTTCCACGCAGCTCTCCGAAGACTGCATCATGTATCTTATGGTGCTGTAGAGTCCACCTCGCGAGTGATTTAATCAGTGTCTTGTCCTTGACTGCGAATATCTTCTACGTTACCCGAATCCCGTCAAGCTCATGTGCGGTTGGGCCCAACTCTCCGATCTGCGCCCTCGAACGAGCGAGCGAGCTCGATCGTGAGCTCCATTGGTCCCAAAGTACGGTACCATGACACGTACTCGCCAGTCCGATTCTATCTCGGACTGGACCGTGTCACTCAGGAGTCTCTTTATCGCCGTTTGGACTGAGCATTCTGCTTCAGCCTACAGGTTTGGACTGGTACTCTATCACATGAAAATGGGCCGCGCAACTTGATAAATAGCGCTACATACAGCCAGGTATTCTCCAGCTTCCCTCGCTTTCTAGCGGTGGACACATGCGGGGCTTGGCCGTGTAAGAGTCTATAACTCCTCTGCACACGCTTCAGCTGTCGACTTCATTCGTCGTACCATCGACGTTCATGTGGGAAAGCATCTCCGGATGTCACTACCAGAACGTATGGGCCGTTGGGTGTCCGGGCGGTGCTCTTGAGCACTTTGCCGTGCGTGGATTCAATGCGACTACTTTGGCATCAATAGCTCCAGGGCTAGCCTTAGGTTTAACGTCGCGGTTCACCGACCGCCTCGTCTCCAGACGAGCTGTGTGCGCACACGCGCTTGGACTCCGGCTTAGCTGGTTTCCTATTTTGGCCGCACTGTTGTCTGGTGCTATGTGCGGCCTGGCAGAGAGCATATTCGCAGGCATCCTCGGGGGAACGGGGATGCTATATGCGTGTCTTTCGACGCGCGTCCAAGGTGTCCATTTCAGCGCGGGCCTCATTCTCATGGGGTAATGCCCTCTGATTTATCGGAGGGCGCCTTGCTGGTGGACTGAGGACTGCGAGTGTGCTCAGGCGGCGTTGCTTTATGCGGCGTGTCATGCCGTGTTCTGGGTTAACAGAGTGTTCGCGCGCACGCTCTCGTATTCAGACGTTTGCCCCTCGACGCAAGTCGAGATACGCCCTAGCGGTGTTCCTCCGGATTCTGTTCTGACTCGACGGCTATCTGGTCTACTGGTCTTGGCTACACTCTTGTTCTCAGGCTGCTCTCTGGGCTCTTTGACTGTGTGCTCTCTGTGCTCTGGCTCTGGCTCTGGCTCTGGCTCTAGTCTCACTGGGTTCTAGTTGCGCTTGCTCTGCGGCGTTTCTCCAGTAGATAGATAGGTAGATAGCCATGGACTAGACTCATTAGGGCTTGACGAGGCCATTGTAAATACACGTCTCTCTCCTACTTAGACTGTTCCCTCCACACATCACTCGTACTTAATCTCCCTCCCCATCCCTCCCACTTTCTGACGATCGTACAGCATGCAGCCCCTCCTCCTCGCTGTTTCCACACTCCGCTCCCCAGAGCGTCACCGCGAGGGCCTGACGACCCCTCCGCAACGGACGCGAGCCTGGGTGGGAGCTGGCACCCGAGAGTTGAGACTCCGGCGAGGCGAGGAACGCGGTGCTGTATGATTGTCTCTTCGCCCCTTCTTTTCCAAACGGACAACGGCTTCGAGTTTGGGATGCTTTCGCGTTTGTTCTATCGCTCGGCTGTCACCTTTTGTAATCGATCTGCAGGTCGATATCTCTCAATGAATGCACACGCATCTGACATTCAAACACTTCATTCAAATCGGATATAGTCTTCAGCGTGATCAAGTTTACCAAGGTTTGCTATCTGCTTCTGATTCTATGACCTCTCAGATCGAGGCGACAAGCGAGCCATTAGTCTTAACACAAGTCAATTCGCGCACAGAACGCGCAACAGTATTCCGCAGTATCTGGACCGTAAGTTCGTCACGCGTGCTTTCTGCTCTCCGTGTCTCGCGCACCAGACGGTCGATCGTTCTCAAATTTGACAAGCCTCATCGGACCTGCTTGTTTTGTATGTACCAGAAGATCTCATCCGAATCAGGTAAGAACGTAGAGGCTCGGCTGTGCGCGCAGTTCGCCGAAGATGACGGACACACCTGGACAGAACGTGATGGTGCGGGTCGTTGAAAGCGATTACATCCTTCCTGACCGTGCGCGGTTCGCGGTCTACCCATCTGTGTCGCAGTCCTGACAAGCACTTCTACTCTCACCAGTTACACACCTACAATCCCGCGTCTTCTAGACAAGCCGTGCATATATCGAGAATCGCTAGAGACAGGGGGCAACTCCGTTTGCCAGGGCGACGCTGCCAACGATATCGATGCTTCCTCCAGAGTTCAACGCATAATCCAGAACATATATACATCGCAACGCGCACCAGCGCTCCATCAACATCCAGTCCCCAGAACAGAACATGGGTATACAGCAACACACACCACGTAGTCCCCTACGAGCTCGAGCTCGCATAAAGCTTAACGACCCCGTCCGCGCCCGCACTCGCCATAAACGGCAACGTATTATGGAACGCAAGCGCCAACACGCCCTCATCCGCTTTCCTCCTATGACTCGTAATCTCCTGCACGCACGACATGCTCAAGTTCTTCGCTTCTTTCTCCTTGTCGCCGTTGCCGTTCTTGCCGTTGCCGTCTTGGCCTAGGACGTCCCAGAAGCGCACGCTGCAGTCGTGGCCGCCGGATGCGAGCGCGAGACCCGCTGCGTCGAGCGCGAGTGCTGCGACGCCGTCGAGGTGTGCGGGCATGCTGTACGTGCATTGGCCTGCAAACGTTCTCGTCAGCAAGGTTCACGGTGAAGAAGAGAGATGGAGAGCGTACCAGTCGTGATATCAAAGATCGAAATATGCTTATCCTCATGCCCCGCAACAAGCAACGGCATAGTCGGATGACTAACCAAACAGTTAACCTGTCCCCTCTCTCCCTCCTGCGCCGGCACCCTAATATGCCTCTCCTCCGCGCCCGTCGCGATATCGAACACTTTGATACTCCCGTTCGCGAACGCCACGGCGACCTTCTTCAGATCGCCACGTACAGCCTCGACAGCGCACGCTCCGGGAAGATCCTCGTCTTCTTCCTCGCGCGATCCTTCGCCGGACTGAACGCCGTGGAACGTCCAGCTCATCTTGAGACTGCCGGGTCCGTTCGCGGAGGGACTCGAGACGTCCCAGACTTTGACGGCTCCTTCTGCACCGGCTGATACGAGCGTGCGTTCGTCGCGGACGAGTGCGAGATCCCAGACGACGTCAGTGTGGCCGATGAGTTCACCGCGTGCGCGCGTGGAGTCGTATGGGGCGTAGGTGCCTGCTGCAGGGTTCGGTAGCGCCCAAGCGCGGATCGTGCTGTCCATGCTAGCGCTGTAGAGTAGACCACTCGCGGGTGCGATCACGAGGCGCGTGATGGCCGCTGTGTGGCCGCGAAGCGTCAATTGAGGCTCGACTTCGGTAACGGGGCGTGCACTGCAAGTAGCGCGTGTGTTCAGTATACATAGACACAATTCTATTGCGATGGACGTACGCAGATGATGCGAGTCCGGCGACATCCATGCGCCAGATCTTGACCGTGCAGTCGTCGCCGCCGCTAGCGAGACACAGTTCGCTGGGATGGAATGCGAGCGCGCGTACGGCGTCTAAATGGCTGCAGAAGTCACGCGCAAACGTCAGCGCCTGTTCGCCACAACCACACGAGGCAATCGCACACTCACTTTCGCAGCGTCCGCTTCGTCTTCCAGATCTTCTCACCCTCGCCGTCACCCATCAAACTATCGTTGTCGTCCTCCGCCTCGGCTTCCTCCTCTTGGCCCTGGCCCTGCTCCTCCCCGTACGACGCCGCAGCAGCAAGACGAGCCTGATCGGCTTCATGAGCGGCGCGTAGACGCTCTTTCCACTCCCCGCGGTTATCTGGGCGGAAAATCGCAGTTGGCACCTCGCCGTTGGCGTTCAACCCATCACCGAACGGCTGCTGTTGCTGCAACTCCCTCTTCTCCTGCTCGTCCTGCTGAGGCTGACCGCTGCTACTAGGGAACGGTTGCTGCTGCTGCTGAGACTGCTGCTGAGCCTGTTGCTGTTGCTGCTGGTTGCCGTTCATAAGCGGGAAGTCCTTCGGGACCTGGACGTTATCCATGAGCTTGCGTGGGCGGTTACCGTAGCCCATCTGGTCGAATGGCGGGACATTTGGAAGCGAGACCGGCATCGCACCAGGGCCAGATGCGGGACCAGGCATCGCGAGTGGGCGTGTGGGGAGAGGGTTCATGGCTTGCGGAGAAGTCAAGTACTGGATCTCTTGCAAACATCTGTGTAATATATACGTCAGATGCAATCCCTTCGTAAAAGCTCAGATACACATACTGCTTGAGATAATCTCTACTCCTCGCCCTGCTCTTCGGGTCACGGCCCGGAGGCGGCTTGCCGAGCGCACTGGACGCGCTCCAGCTCGAGCTAGCTCCGCCAGCCCCCCACGTACTCGCGCGCACAATATTCTGTGGTGGTAATGGCGAGTCTGTACATATGCAATATCAATATAGCGCCCAACACGAGAAAGAAACGTGCCACGCGCCTTCTGAGCGCGGCGAACCGCTGGCGGCGCTGCCTTCTTTTGGTGCACCGTTCGCGTCCTCTTTTGGCAATATATGTTTTGCAGGAGCGGTAGCCGGTTGATTAAGCTGCTTCGAACTGTTACGCAATATGTAGTTGAGCAAGTGTAGACAGGTGCGGACAAAGGGACACGCTCACCGCTCGACGCGAAGTGCGTATTCGAGCATCTTTATCCTCCGCATCAGGTCAACCTTGACATTCTCGAAGCTCCTCCGCTCTCCCTCGAGCAGTGCAATTCTAGCCTAAAAATCACAACCACTATTCAACACGAGTGACAATAATAATAATCAGTACAGAATCACGCACCCGCATCTCCGCGCGCTCGATCTCCCACTCGTTTCGGTCCCGCTCATACTTCCGCCACTCGCTCTGCAGAAAATGCAGAACGTTCGAAAGCGTAAAGTCCTGACCGCTCAATGGCGGCGGCGGTACATCCTGCCCGCCAACGCCGCCCACACCCGGCCCGTTTTGCTGTTGCCCTTGCACCTGTTTGGGCGGCAACCCCCCGGAACCGAGCATCATCCTGCTTCACGCGGGTATTTCCGTAGACTATAGACTATAGATGGCTTCAAACCGACGGGCGGACAGAGAGAAATGGCGAAGGACGATAGAGCAGGTGGTGGTGGTAAAGTCGAGTTGCAGCCCGGCGCGTGCTCGAGCGCTCAACTTCTGTGACGCGTTGACGTCGCGCGCCTTCACACAGATCTTTCCTTTCCAGATTTATTGCGATTCGGTGATGTACTGTACATATGCAGCAACGGACACCCAGGCTCTCAGAACAACAATCCCACGCATATGGATACAACAACGGGCACGGATAGCACGGGCGCTCTATTTCTTGCCAGACTTCTTGATGCCGCCACCGGGCGCACCACCTGTCGCCGTCGCACACGATCAGCGTTCCGGTCCTTCCGCATTCGGCGAGTTGCCTACCTTTCAAAGCTGTAAATCAGGGTCAGTATCTCGTCTCTAACAAGGTGACAGATCAGATCACGTACCCTTCTCCTTAGCAGCCTTGATCGCGGCAGCGTCGGCCTTCTGCTTCGCCTTGAAAGCAGCATCCTCCTCATCCTCGTCCTTTTTCTCCTTCTTTGGTGCCTGCATCCGATCACGACCGTCAGCACAGTCCACCCCACCACATACGACGCAACAGCGCACCTTGAGGGGCTTCAACTTGCCGCCTTGACGTCCGGACATGATAGCAGTGGATGTAGATGCGAATATGCGGCTAGTGTCCTTGGCCGAGGCAATTTCAGCGAATTTCTAACCCCTATAAGTACCCTACCGCGCCGAAACCCCGCAATCGCGATAATCAATCCCATTCTTGCCGGCCGGATAACCATCGACCTTCCACCGACCACCCACTGGCCATTCGAGCTCTCGCGCCATCATGGCTCGATGGCTAATAGAGCTCTACGCGGCCCTGTGCCCTTTGACTCTTGCCCTCAGGCTCGAGCAGCAGGTCTTCATGTCTTCCTCGAACTCTGTCGACCCAAATTCGAACCTAGGCGATAACTCGGACGCGGGTTGGCGGGTAACGTTATCGCGACATGTCGACGTACGTAGATCTCAATTTAGCCTTGGCTAAGACCTTATCTGGGACTTACGACCACGCCCCTCCTCATTCTGGTGCAGGTACTCGGCCCGTTCCCTATACACGCTCGGGAGCAGCACTTCCTCTCGCCTGCTTTCCCGCTTGACTGTGAGTTTGCCCTCCGCCCATTATGTTCTGAGAACGATGTGATATTTTTGGTCCCTGGCCGACGCCGGCGTCGGTGATCTGAGAATATGCCGGTCGATTCTGTTCCCGCCGCTGTGAAATCACTTGGAAATGAGCGCTCGACTCTAGCAGGCTGCAAAGCTATTGAAGTACTCACTTATAGATGCCGAGTGCTCGTGGCATACGAGTCTACTCTAGCGCTCACGATATTCTCTCTGCCTCCATGATTTGCTGCTTTTCCTCGATCCATGAGACCGGCCTGTTGACCTGGGCTGACTATATGCGCCTCCAGTGACCGGCCCCATCGACCTCAACGCGACATACCCATCATCCTACTCAGACGGTGGACGCGTCGGCTGGTCAAACGTCACCTTGCAAAACTCCGGCCAGATACTCGTTTCGTATCCCAACATCAGGTCAGCCATCACCGCCTCCGTACTTCACTCCTTACTAACTCTCCTTCTCATGGCAACACAGATGGCAACAACTCCGCGCAACAGAAGGCTGGGCAGCACTCCAACATCACAGCGTCCTTCGCACAACTCTTACCGTCCACCCGCCCGCAGATAGGGCCACGCCGCTGCCACCTCTCCTAATCGACCTTCTTCAAGGCTCTTTTCTCGCGCTCTTACCACAGGAACAAGACCGCGATGAGAAGACGGTCCCCGAATGGTACTCCGGTAACATCTACGACCTCACTCGATACGTGACTCCCGCTGTACGATTCCCGGTTCCGCCTTCTATCTCAGAACCGACGAAGTATGATCTATTCGTGAGCGGAGACTACGAGGTAGGTGTTACACATATTGCTGTATCCATGTATCTGACTTCGCAATGTGCTACCCATAGATTCGTCTATTCGGCGATCCTGGACCCGATACTCCTCCGACGCTCGATATAACACTCGGTGCAGAATTTGCGCCATTGTCTTCCGGATTGGTGCACCAGCCTTCGCACGACGCGATACCCAACTTCGTAAATGGCTTTGCACTCGGCGACGCTCTGGGTGTCGGTGTACGCGGTTACGGCGACGACACCTGGTCCTTAGCCAGCGCGAAAGTCGCCGATTCTCTTCCTGTGCGTATCTCTTGCTTCTCAGATGACACTCGGACTATCACTCATCCCGCTTCGCAGGCACTCGCGGTGAACATCGTCTCTCCCATCAGACTAGCACCCAACCAAATCCGCGTACTGCCTCTCCGCATCACACACTACGCGCCGCTTCCAACCGATGTGAAAACCATTCCGATCGAGCTGGTGTTCACGTTAGATTCTCAAGCTGATCCAGCGCATTTCACCGTCAATGTACCCATCCGCCACAGAACGTTTCCCGGCAAGGGCATCATCGCCACTTACATGTACGTGGAGAGCATGCCGACCGCGTTCGCGGTGAACAGTCCGACTGGAACGAGCGAGGCGGGTGAAGAGCGTGCAGCTGTGCTTGCGCTGCGTGAGTTTCTTCTCTCCTCCACGAGGGGTTGTACCCTGATGGTGGCGGGATTGCACAGATGGTGCTGGAGTCGACGCGATCAGGATGCAGATGTGGCACGACGCGCTTCCGCAGCGGCGCCACAGCTGGACGATCTTGCCCACAGGGCGCACACCTTGGGTCAGTACTTCCCCTTCGCTTTCATTCTTGCATGCATAACCTGAACTGCATCTCTCATAGGGTCTCGATTGGCACGGTCTCTCTGCGAAAGAGGCTTGGGCGAGCGTCGATGCACTTCGCACGATACTTTCCTCGCGTGATGAATGGGTCGGTTGGCGTATGCCCGCCGATCCACGCGTCGTACTCGTTGGCCACTCGAATGGCGGTCAGGGTGCATGGCACATCGCCGCTCGATGGCCCGATAGAGTCATTGCAGGTACGCGCTCGTATCAGAGAGCACTGTCAAGGGGAAAGCTGATTTCGATTCGGACAGTCGTTCCCGCTGCGGGCTACATCAAAGCGCAAGCATATGTCGCTCTCGTTCAGAGCCACTCGGCGCACTACATCGATCCTGCCCTTCGCGGTGTGCTTGAAAGCGCATACACACCTGATGATAACGACCTGTTCCTATCGAACCTCGCACATCATCCCATCCTTGCTGTGCACGGGTGAGCATCTTTATGTCAACGTTCGCTAACTCATGCTGAACTCATTTGAGAGGTGACGATGACAACGTTCCAACATGGCACGGACGCGAACAAGTCTCCATCGTAGAGACCTGGGCTCGCGACGCCGGGATCTCAGCCAACATCACGTTAGTCTACCTCGCCCATCGTCAGATCCGCTCTTCTCACATCCATTCTAGATTCAAGGAAGATCCTGGACAGGGCCACTGGTACGATACCATACTCGACAACGAGCAAGTATCAACCTTCATCGAGTCTCAACTCGTCGAACCTGCCTCGAATGCAGTTGTACCGGCACGCTTCACTCTGACAGTCGCAGCTCCCGAAGAAAGTGGTTCGCTCTTCGGCTGGGAAGTTCTCAATGTGAAGCACTTCGGACGGTATGAATTTCGCAATCTAGCCTTTGCTCGCAGAACCTCATGGGTCTTCGCAGGTTGGCCCGTGTGTCCGTCGAGTTTGTTGAGCGTGCCATGACCATCAAGACGTCAAACGTACAGATGGTCAAAATCGGCCGTCTTGTGTCTGGGACGACCCGTATAAACATAGACGGGAAAGATGTGCAAGTCATATCTGGTTCGACGCTGAACCTTGTACCCGCGCAAGGCTGGGTGCAATATGATCTTCCTCACCGCCCACAGCGCACGACCTTCCGCGCTTCCTCGATCCTCACATCGCCCGCACCGCTTCGCCTCATCATCCCGGATGCTCCCACGCCATCCGAGATTGCCGCGGCTTCACGTATCGCCCACGTTCTCCAGTTGTACTATGCCCTCGACTCAGTCATCATATCCGACTTTGAGGCACTCCGCCTTCACACGGAAGGAACGCTCGGCGCCGGTAACATCGTCGCGATTGGAAATGTTGCGCGGGGTAATTTTGTGCGCAAGAGCATCGAGAGCGGGCGAGGCGCGTTCCAGCTGAACGGCGATGTGCTATATGTCAACTGTGTTGTTGCTAGACAAGATGAGGGTCAGTGCCATTCTACTCAAGGTCTTCACATCCGAGTCATAGTAACGCTTGTTCAGGCGTGCTCTTCCTGCATCCACATCCTACGACAGCTACGTCTTCGATGCTCGTTCTCGCAGCGTCCGACGATGCCGCACTAGAGCGTCTCGTTCGCCTTTTCCCAATGCGTACGGGCATTGCCGTTCCCGACTGGCTCATCGTAACTCCCGACGCTGATACTTTCAGCGCTGCGGGTGTCCGCGCTGCAGGGTGAGCTCGTCGCCGAAACAATTATTGGTACACTCTGACTGAGGCACGATTTGCAGGGTATGGGACGCGGACTGGAAGTACAGCGCAATAGGATCCTGGCACGATTAAGGAGATGGTATTTGTCGTTAGCACAGAAGCAAGAAGAGAGGTGTGAAGTGTGTGTAGTAATATTCTAAAACAACGCATCAAAACGACTTCCAGAGCGCACCAAGCCTAACTTCAAAGATATAACGGAAAAGAGGAGAAGTGTATGAGAGAGAAAAGAGACGTGAGGAGTGGAGAAGTATACACTGTACAAAGCGCGTCAGGGTGATTCGTTGCGAGTGGTCGTTCACAATTGTCCAGTTTGGGCTGGGTTGAGTTGAGAGTACAGTACAGTTGCGGTATAAATACTAAGAAAGTGGACCCCAGAGGACGTAAGACGCAAGGGTGTAGGACAACACGAGAGAGGGGTAACTCAGTAGATAGACGAGAGAGATAGCAAGGCGACAGCGGCAGTGTATCGATCAAGGGGGGTTGCTTTAGGCTTGTTGGAATATCGACTGAGCGACCTACAGCGACCATGAGTCGTGATGTCAAGGGCAGACGAGGTTGACACATACCTGGTTGAGCAGCGCCGCAATCTCGGGCACAGCTGTGACGAACTTGCGCTCCCAGAAGCCGTACTTCTGATTCTTGAGGAGCTCGATGAACGCAACGAGCGCGCCCCACGGGTGCGGGCGATGCACGATGAAGCGCTCGAGCAACACGCGCGTCAGAACCTCGCCGAACAGGTCGTCGTGAACTTCGACGAACAAGTTGAGGAAGAGGCAGATGAACCAGTGCGTGTGCGCGTTCGGGTAGCGAAGGTGCAGCGTCAAGCTGTTGAGCAGCAGGTACTGTCCCTCGGGCTCAAGCTCAGAGGCGAGCTGGCGGACGAGCGCGACGCCGGGCGCAGCTGGGTTGAAGAGCGCGCTACCACTGGTCGCCTTGGCCTGCGCCACGCTGCTCACGCCGATGTACATGATCAGGCTGTTCATAAGCGAGACGTTGTAACCCTCGCGAGCGACGGCGGCCGGGTCGGGCGTGTTCGCCGGTGCGCGAAGACGTTCCACGATAGCCTGGAGCAGAGCGGGAGAAGGCGGCGCGCGTGCGAGAAGCACAGCATCGAGCGCAGCGCGCAGCTCTTCCCCGCCGTTTTTGTTCAAAGTCGCCGTAAAGTCCGAGAGGACCGGCGGG